AAATCTACAATTTAGGTATTTTGTTAAGAACGGTTGGTTATTAATAAACCATGGAAATTATTATAATAAATTTAAAATACCATTTTTAATAAAAAAAATTATGATGTTTTATAAATTTAATTATTATAAATTAGTTAACAAAGTAAGTATCTTTTACTCAAAAAAAAAAAGGTAATTTTCTTTTTCTTTTTCTTTTTCTTTTTTTGCCAAAACCTTAATTAAAAAATTAAAAATTAAAAGTTTTTCAAAACTAGTAAAATGATCGTATCCTCAAAAGTATGCTTTGTAATATATAAGTTATATATTTAATTTGAAATCAAACAAACCTATCATTTTTTTGCTTTGTATAAAGTGTTGGAATTTTGCAGGAAAATTTTTTAAACATAAAAATAAAAATAAAGGCTAACGAAAAATTAAATTTAAAGGAAACACCATCACTTAAAGACTTAAAGTTAATTTGTATCATATTTCATCCTCACACTCTACAAATAATTATTTCATATTTATATCAACATTTTCTATAGTTAGTCCCTAAGATTTTTTAGTTCTAAAGTTAAGTGTAATGAACTCTTTTTTTTACTTTTTTTGTCTCCACACCGTTGACCGTAAAATTATTTTAACCTTCCTAATGGTAGAAACTTGATTAAAAAATGTCCAATAAACAAAAAATTATATATAATTTATCCTTTACTTCGTACAGATATAAAATATTTTTATTAGTTTTGTAAATAATCTATTAAAGGTCATATATATAATTTCGATGGCATGCTGGTATAATAATTTCAAGTTTAATGTAAACATAGCGACAAATCTTACCATAAATCAATGTTTTTCCTTCACCAATCTTCATTATCATTTAGCTTGAACTCCAAAAGAAAAATCTGCATTAAATACAGGTAAAGCTTCATCAACTGAGCGATAAGCATAATTCCTTGTGAACAGGAACAAAGGCACCACCTTTCAATTTTATTGTAAGAATCAAAATCCTCGTCGAGGATAAATGGTCTTGCTTCTATTCAAAAGCTGAAATATAAAACCAAATAAATGAAACTAAACATTATTACTATCTGAACGTGAGATAGAAAATTACATTAAAAAATAATAATAATAATAATAATAATAATAAATTTAAAAAAAAAAAAGAAAAAAAAAAAGGCAAGCACCTCTTTAGCAATGAGGTCCCCATATTCCAAGTTCAGTTTGGGGGCAAAATGCAAACACGTCCAAATCGCAAAGCTATTGTGGATGTTATGAAACGGCTAAAATATCAATTTGTAACCCTACTTTCACACCTTCTGCAGCAGTAGTTTCTGCAAAACAACAATCAAAGGCCATATCAGCTGAAAGTGATAAAGTATGCCAAACAACAACACTTCAAATAATAAGTCTTAGCCTCACTGGTAGAAGATCAAATTTCATCATCAATTTACTTGATAAAAGAATAACATGTCATATTACACAAAGATATTGCAGATCAATTAAACACCAACTTGAGAAACTAAGGGCTGTTTGGTAAGAGTCCCACTTCTTGTTTCTATTTCCTCATTTTTTATTTCCTCATTTTTTAATAACAGAATTGCATTGTCCAACCACCATGAATTCAAAGATAATCAAACAATATTTATATTTATGTTTGGGCCTTCTAGTTGATCTTGTCAACCTAAGTACATGGTAAGTAGCATTTTCAAAAAGTTAAAGCAGTGAGCTTGGAGCCTAAACGATGTTTAAGGGTTCAAGTGTGTTTGACACCCAAGTGTATATTTAATGGAGTTTTTCGGTGTGTGGTGTGTGTTTCGCACCTATGTATACATCTACTGGAGTTTTTGGTAAGTTAAGAACCTATGTACATAGTTATGAAGGTTTTTTGTGAATTGAGAACCCAAGTACACGTTAAGGATCATTCTACCATTAATGTGAATCCCAATAGTACTGCTACTGTTAAGCGATGATTTGAGTGAGTTTTGACCTAAAGTGTGTTTAAACGGTCGTTTAGTTGTGTTCGATGTCTAAATGCATGTTTAAGAGCATTTTGAATGAGTTAAACACCAAAAGTGTATACAATGGATTTTTTTAGTAAGTTTGGGACCAAAGTACATTTAAAGGGATTCAATTTCTTCAACTTTAAAACATAAACTTTATGACGAATGGATGGTGTCGCAAAAGTTCTGAAGGAAGAAATTTTTTATAAATGTATGCTTAACCTTCTCAATGTGGATGAGACTCTACTTAGATGATAAATTAGAACAAGATTCAAAAGTTAAAGTTGAAATTTGAGAGATGAAATTCTAAAAAAAATATGTAAACCGGATGGATGACCATGTTTTGATGGTTATATAACTATAGGCTTCATCCTTTCCATGTGGATGTGGCTCTACTTATGATAAATTAGAGCAGAACTAAGAAGTTAAATGTTGAAATTTAAAAGATGGAATTCTTAAAATAAAATTTAAAAAAACATGGAAATCGAATTTATGATCATGTGCTGTGGTGTTCCCTTGGTTTATGGAAGAATGATATGTTTGAAGCTTTGGGAGAAATTTGTGAGGGTATCAATGTGTTTGAAAACCCATGAGTTTAACTAACTGCTCTTATATTCAAATCAAACGGCTAATGATCAAATATTCTTGGTTCAAGTGGCAAGAAAATCAGAGGAGAATAATACAGTTAAGGAAAGAGCTTTCATCGACAGAGCTTTGGAATGATGTGATTTTGAGTCCATATGGCGTGGAGAGTACTGATTGGCTTCCTAATGAGATGAAAACCTCTCATGACAAATTCAAATGGGTTCACAAAAAGTATACTTCAACAAGAACAGAAATGGAGAAAGCAAACCCCTCTCAATTAAGGGAGGCAAATTCTTGATCCAGTTTTAACAGTGAATTAAGCGAGTGAAGGTTATAAAGGAAGAAAGTATTACCTAGCTCATAAGTCTTACTAACCACTGGAAACTTATTTTCAACATCAAGGCCTTCTCTATTTGTACTGGATAGACCTTCTTAGTGAACTACAAAATAAAAATACAAATAAAAAAAATAAAATCAATTCTGCTTCAATATTATATTACAACAAATTATGATCACAAAAGGTCAATACCTTACTCGACCTTAACAATAATTTCAATTGGAGAAATCAAATTTTGAGGAAAATAATAGAAAGAAGGGTTACAAAGTGATATAATTGCAGTTTGGTTCACAGTTTGAAGTGAAAATCTATCTCCCAAATGTCTCTATTGTGAGCAAAAAATTAGTCCTTCAATCACCAACACTAACTGTTGCAGGATCCTTATTCGGATACAAAGCCGCACAACGTTCACGCACACCAGCCAATCTATCTCGCTAGGATCGTCATTACAATTTAAATTTAAATTAAATTAAAAAAAACTCAAAAATCATTTGAGAAAATAAAATGACTAGAAAATAATCAAAACTAACTAGCTAGGATGATCGTTGCAGAGCTTCTTTATGAGGGTGTGACTGCAACGAACTAGAACTAGAAAACGGGTTAAATAAATATGTGTGAGTAGATGCTACACTGACAAATTTGAATGATGATGCCTCGTAAAAAAGCCTTTGACCTTCGTGAAAACAAATTCATCGTGTTTCAACTTAAGATTAGCAAACGAACGAAGACCACCGGAACAGTCCCGACGACAATGTAATCAGATAGAAATTAGGAAACAAAAAAGGCAACAGAAAATTCAAGGTGGAACAATTACCCGGAGGGATTTGAGGGCAAATCTGTGTGATCGATCAATTTAGCGCTGACTGGAGCCAAAACCCTAATTTGAGGGTTGGGAAATTCGACCGAATCAAACGGATGAAGGGGAATGATCATTGATGAGATTCTGGGGAATCGAATAGAAAAACTGCAATAAAAATTTAGGGTAAAAGGAAACTGAGTTGCTTGAGATGATCGGGAATACTGTGAAAGGTCCAAAACCCTAATTGAAGGATTGGGAAATTGGACTGAAGCAGGATGATGAAAGCGCGCGAAGTTGTAAGTTCTGTGAAGGACGCGCGAACTCCTTACCCTTTAAACAGAGTCCCTTGCCCTTCTGCGTATTGGCTAAGCCATCGGTTTATTTATATATATATTTTCTTTTCTCTTTTCTTTTCTCAAATCCCGTGTAATAAAATTAAAATTACGTGTTCTTTAACTCTTTTCTACAAATTTCTTTTACTTTTTAATCCTATTTTCTTTAATGGGCCATAATCTACCAGTTAGGGCTGAATGGGCCCATAACTATGTAATGAAATAATGATCTGAAGTTTTTGAACTCTAGTCTGTAATTATTCATAACTATGTAATGAAATAATTATTCAGTCTTTATACTTGATAACAATTTAATTTTTAAATTTTAATACGTAACAATGTAACAATTTAGTCTATAGTCTATGTAGTTTAAGATTTATAATAATTCAATCTCTATTGTAAAAAATTTTGTTAAATTTCTTATATATGTAGTTTAATAAATTGATGAGGGACCAAATGTTTACAAAGTTTGAATTGTTATATGATAAAAAACAACACTTAATTTTTATAAGACTTTTCCCAGTAAGGATTAAATTATTATAAATTTTAAACTATAGAGACTAAATTGTTAAAGTTAACTAAATTGTTACTTTATAAAAAGTATAGGAAACAAATATATTTTTTAACCTAATTTCTATCTATTCTAGTTCATTTTTGGTTAAACACTTTTTAAAAGTGAGCATTTTGTCCCTTCGTTCTTTTTTTTTTGGTTGCATTTCTTTATCACAATCATTGCATGACTAATACACACAATAAATTTCTTGAAGTCTATTCATAGATTTTTCATTTTGTATAGAATTTGTTTAAATTTTGCAAACAATGCCCAAAACAGTCACATGTTATAGATGATATTAAATTTCTATCGATGAATTGACATTTCCATAGTATTACAAAAAAATTGATAAAATATAAAAAGTATATACATATCAATAAAGTATCGCACGTGTAGACATAGTGTTAAGACCAAGTGTTTTTTACTCATTTCAAAATAGTAAATTGATTATTTGTTAATTTATAATTTTTAAAAAATATCCAATGTTAACTTTTATCGATATAAGTTTTGGTTAAATTTTAGGTTAAAAAATACATGGTCTCTGTATTTTTGCTAAGTAAGAAGTTCATAATAATTTTGTCCATATACTTTCAAATTAGTAACAATTTAGTTTTTAAATTTTTTTACAGAACTAAATTATCAAGACTAAATCGCTACTGTATTGAAAGTACAGAAACTAAATCGTCACAAACTAAAATCTAAGGACTAAATCGTTACTTCAGTAAAAATATAACCAAATGTGTTATTTAACCTAAAATCTAATGAAACCAAACCTCCTAGTTTAACAAAGATTGTCTAAATTATAGAAATCTATCACCAAAAATCTGAGTTGGATCCAAAAATATTACGGAACTCCTGGAAACGTCAATTTTCAATATCCAAATTTAATTAATAAAAATGGACCGACTGGAGCATGAAACCCGTCCCCAACTTTAACATTGGATTAGAACTCATCACAACTTCAATTTATTGCATCATCTGCAAACATCAAAAGTTTATTCATAAAACCCACATATGGATGCACACACGATACACCCATCATAATCATACTAAAAACTGAAAAGATAATATTTTCTCAAACATGCAATTATCAAGAAAAAAGAGTTCGACAGAGAGCTCCAAATTCTCTCTGCAAGTAATTATTGATTCTCAACGCAGAATTCCACTAAAGTTAGCAGTAAACAGACCGTATATGGCATCTGGAAGAATGGCAAAAAAATTGCAGGTGTTATAACCCTGTTAGATCTGATGAGAAAAAAAAAAACAAGTCAACCCCTTTTTTTCTATCACCTTTAATTATAAGGGCCGACGATTTATAAGAACTATACATCTTCGGCGTGCGAATACTTCTGACAAAAGCAAATGAACATTTGATATCCAGATTATACCACATCTATGACGTATGCCTCCTTTTATTTTTTCCTTCTATAACAAGGTATCATAAGCAGCTACTTCTTGTGTCAGCAGTTATCAATCTGTTGCGTCATCATGCTCCACAGCCTTAGAATGGTTGCTGGACGATGAATCTTTTCCCGCAGGAAGGTACGACCATGCTAAGACTGCTGTGCCGAGTGTGATCGCAGTGGCGACCGAACCCCACATCCATCTCTGCCTCCTTTTCCTCCTCAACCTCTCACGCCGTGCCAAATCTAGAAACCAAATAAACACGGGCAACAGCTTAGCGAAAGTACAGAGATTCAACACATAAACCAACAGAAACAGAGAGCTGAAGCAAAAAAGGTAAATCATATGCTGAAAAGAAGATTTCATTCCTCATCTGCTGAACATTCTTTCATTCTTGACCACTTATGAAAGAAAAAAGCACCATTCTTGACCACTGGTGAAAGAAAAAAGCACCAAGTCCAAATGGAAGAAACCAGTGGATCTAAAGGAGTCCTGTTCTACATCTCGACCCAGCGGATCTCCTAGTAAAAGTGAGCTACAGAACTTGTGGCAACTTGGAAGAAACCAGTGGATCTAAATGAGTCCTGTTCTACATCTCGACCCAGCGGATCTCCTAGTAAAAGTGAGCTACAGAACTTGTGGCAACTTGCACACTTCTTAAAACCCACAATTAATTGGAACATGAAAGCCATATTGGATGGCAAAAGTCGGGTCTCAGCTAGGTATCATAAAATTTACCCGTATACCCACATCATATACGAACACTGGAATCCATGAAAAAGAAAACGAATGGAGATTTACATACAAATCCTTTCTTGTCATATTAAGATCCATTATTCAGTTGAACTTACAAGGCAATAAGATAAGGCAAACAGCAAAGCACACAACATCACATCAATACCAGTGGATCACTATATAACAAATGTTGGAGTATTCAGAATGGTCATAATAAATTTGTCAACGGTATACAATAATAATACTCATTCATCCGTTTGTTGCATCTGGTGCATTATTTTGCTTCTGTAAGTACAATCACGAACTACAGCTTGACCATACAGGCTCCATTAGACAAGATACCGTTTGAAATAGTTACATCCTCTATGTGGGTGATCCGACCCATTGAGATTTGAACCCATGATCATGTCAATTAGATTAATCCAATAGCTGCCCTGGCTCACCCTAACTTTTGCAGGTAAGCATTGTCCTTTGAAAGACCACACCTACTATCTAATATTCCTATCTTACACCTCTTTCCCCTTCTAAAATCCAATTTGATCGAGGCCTTTATTCGTATGCACAAGCACAACAAATCTAATCAAGTCATCTTACTCACCTAACTATTTTCATTTTAAAATAATAACAATAATAATCACCTAACAACTCACTTTTTTCCTCTCTGCTCATTAGAAAAAAGGTTAATAAAGATCTGATGCAGTAACAACTAGTAAGTGGGTAAGACGTGAAGGGAACAATGAGCAAAAGTGATCTAAAACAGAATGAAATTAAAGACGTTACATAAAACACCACCTTCAACATCCACCCCCAAGAAGAATAAAATAAAAATATAAGAGAAGAAATCATCAATTTTAAGTGACCAAAAAACAAAATATTAATTGAAATTTCCAGATCTTACCAACAGCTTCTTGATTTCTCTGAGACATTTCATGATTCACTGCTTCATAGTAATGAAGTCTGTCCAGCAATCGAGCAATCTCAAAATTCTTGGCTTCAAGCTGTCCTTCCATCTCAGTCTCCACCTCTGCCCTTGCTATACCCCTTCCAATAGAATTTGATACAAACCTAGCAAGATAAACTTGTTGGCACAATTCTTCAGCAGGATCGGAATCTAACTGCTCTCCTTCAGTGGCAACTGTGGGATCTGAAGGAAGGGTCAATCCTGCAAGCAACAGCTGTTCTCTAAGACTCTGCCATCGGCCCTGCAACTTATTTAGTGCTTCCTCAACCTGCTTTCGTTGCTCTAGTTCCATCAATAGGGTTAGCCTCATTTCACGCAACTGAGCTTCAAGATCATTAATATAAGGTTGTGGCACACCCTCATAGGAAAGCTCTGCAGGAAAAAAAAAAAAAAAACCTAAATCATATAATATTGAAATCGACTTCAAGTTGGAAAGCATAGGTTATGGAAGTTATTCATAGGCACATTTATTAATAGATTCAAAAAAGTTCCAATAGTCTATTCCCTATAAAAGCTTTCAACTTGCATCTTTGCATTTCATCATAGCATATCCAGCCAAACTGCAAAAGAAGCATATACCATGCAATTGCAATATTTGTTCCAGTTTCAAAAGAATATCAATATATATATATTAATAATAACTACAAACAAAAAAGGACAATTTTTTCTTTGCCCTGAAAAGTCTGATTTTTTTATTAGAGACAAGAACGATCAGTAGAATAAACTACAGCAATAAAAAATATATCGGAATAACATTTTCCATGCATGGAGTCAGTTACCTTCCCAAGCATCATAATATTCTCCCATAGGGGTACTGAACCTAGCTGAGCGTTCATAACCATTATCCTCTCCATCTGTGTTACTCGCAACACTCAAAGACTCCTGTGGGTCAAAGAAGTCTTCAGCCTCTCCAACAGTTACTGAATTTGTCACAACAACCTTCAATGAATCCTTATCTCGAGCAACACCATTGCTCATCATAATACTACTTTCATAGTTACCATGATTGCTCCCAAGTTGATCAGCTGTAGCCCGATTATCACCATTAACACTCCCACTTAGACCAATATTATTACTACTAGCACATTCTAGACCATCATCTCTGTGTCCTTTGTTTGGAATGGGCGTGTCAGCAGTAACAGAAGCACCATTGGTTAACTGTACATCATTGCTATCCGAACCCTTCACACTCCCATTTCCCGCTTCCTTATCATTCACCTTTTTACGAGAGGACACATCAACCTCAGAGAAACTCTTCAAAAGACGAGGCCCACGCCGCTTATGATTGACAATATAAGGGGAAGGAGGAAACGAAGATGGTGAATCCGGCAGAGGAGTTGCCTCTGGAGTGGTATACAGTGCTGGCTTAATCTGAGGCCGCTGAACTTTCCTGTCTGCAACTGATGCACTATTTCTCCTCTCTAACTTCGTGCTTGGGGGACGGCTGTTGTTGGAAGCAGGCCTAGGTTTAGGAAGGGACTTGTCGACAGATTTGGATGTCCCAAGTTCTAACAACCTATCCAACGCAATTGTAGTAAATGTTGGCATGGTTCTGCATTTGAAGGTGCACCAAACCCAATGAGTATTTAATAACGTCAAAACCCTAATCGAATTACACTAATACAAAACAAAACCAATGACAAAGCAAACACATCCCACAAAGAGGTCTCATTCAGCCAAATTTCGAAAACTAAAGCTCAAATCAAACCCTTGAAACGGCAACATACAAAACAGTTTAAATAAAACTACAGATAGTCGTAAGAGACACCTTAAGAACTAGCAATTCCACAAAAAAATCATGCCACTCAAAATCACAAAGCTCAACAATTCTAAAAGAAAAAAACCCCCAGAAAAAGCTCGTACGAAAAAATCAAATTCAACGAAGAAAAAATCCCTAATAAAACCCACCCACCAAGCATTTTCAGATGGCCCATACACCCAACCCCTAAAAAGTCTATAAAAAAAATCCCAAAACCAAAAGGGGTGGAAAAAGTAACACATATTCGCCATACCCCTCGTTAAAACTTCCTATAAAATGGCACAGAAGTTAACAAAACAAGCACATAAAGCATCGACGAAGTGCAGGGCAAAAGATTCGAACCAAACGAAGAAAACCCCAGAAATGAAAATACCTTGAAAAAGAGTGGGTGGCTGGCGGGGAGGATCAGGGAGGAGTCGGGGAGTTGTAACAGAGAACAGAAAGTCCCATTCTAGAGTATGGATTTGAATCCCCTCGACTCTTCCCCGTCCTTCATAAAAGGAGGATGAATTTTGAATTCAATGGGGGGTGAGAGAGAGAGAGAGAGATTTGAAAACCTCCTCTCCAAGCTTTTTTGTTTAGTTTTCTCGGGTCGCTTCGCAACGACCGCCTCTCCCTCTTCGCCTTGTCGCCCACGCAGTCACGCCCTCCGCAAATATTTGAAACCCTCTTCTCTCTCTCTCTCTCTCATCTATTCTAATTTCTTCTGCCCCCACTTTCTCTCTCTTCTTCTTTTCCCTTTTTACCCCTCCCATTACCTGCGCCGTTAAAGGTCTGAAATACCCTCCCTCGCTCCTGGGAAAAGCCGTTCCATTTCAGAATTTTTTCGCCTTTTCACCTGGACCACTTGCCCGACGTGTCGTCCAAAGAAGAGCCTGTCCGATATAAAATATAATTTTTTTCTAGAGAAACGTGGAGTACGGTGTCGTTTCGATGTAGATTGTGCCTCGTCCAACATTTTAGTATTGAATAGCGTGCCGTGTAAAAGAGCCCAATTTTGATGAGGTGGCAGTCTCTCGAGCTCTTCTATCTTTTTAGTTTTACCAAAACATACCTTATTAATTTATTTTAAATAAGGTGCCTTTTAAAAGAAATTTAAATTACTTTAAAATGATGTTTAATAAATTTTTAACTATTTAATTTTGTATTGTTCAGTCTCCATGTTATTATATATTTTTTAAAGTATACGAATCTAAACATAAAATTCAAAGATTACATGATACGAATCTATAAATTTTAATTGATTAAAGATCTATTAAATATAAAATTGTCTAAAAGAGAACATAAAATTTGAAGTTTAGATATTTATTAGATACAAAATTAAAATTTAAAAAAATTATTAAATACAGTTAAATTTTATAAATATATTTGAAACGAAATAAAAATTTCAGGACCCTACAAAATATTTTTTAAGTGAATTAGTAGTTTTTATCAAAAAAGAAAAAAAAATTGATAGACAGAAAGGAGACTTGTAATTTAACCTTTAAATAATATTTTTAAACATTGGTTTTATTAATTATAGGCGATAGTTACAAACAATAATCGTTGTACTTCTTTTTTTTTTATGCAGTTAAATAACGACCGGCGGATAAAGTAGTCAAATGCCAGTATTACATCCCATAAAAGAAAAAAAAAATTACCAGTTTTTTTTTTCTGGTTTCTTTGGAAGTATTTTTCTTCTTTAAATTATTTTTCTTATTTCTCATTTTCTAACCTGATTAAAGATAAAATACTATTTTAGTATATGAACTTTTATATTTATTTTATTTTAGTTTATAAATTTTTAAATATCTATTTTAGTTAAATAACGACCATCCATTCACATCATTTCGTTTCAAACTAAAATATATATAACTCTCGTAGATGCCAACATCAAAGTATACGAGCCAATAATTACGTGGTGGATCCAAAATTTTATGTCAGGTAGCTTTAATTATATACATAAATTTGAACACACTGATAGGTATGTAGTTCATATATTTTGATGTTGTATAAGTTAAATTACAAGCTTTGTTATAGTAAACTTAATAATTGACTCGTAGATGGATTTAGGAATCCATTAATAGATAAGCTTAAGAGATCGGAAATGGATGAATTTAGGAGCTTGTCAGTAGATGAGCTTAGAAGCCCGGTAGTAGGTGAGTATAGTAGATCGACAATAGATAAGTTCAATGGCTCGATCTTATCTTGCTACGTAGTAGATCATATTTTTATCCTAATTAAATATATTATTAAAAAAAAAAGGAAAAGTGATCTTACGAAATGGGCTGGCGAGAGATGAAGAGAGGAAGAGGGTCAAAATTGATGGGATGGAAAAAGTCAAAGTTGACTTTTGATGGTTGAGAAGGTCTTTTTACCTTTTAAATTTTAATTTTACACGACGTTCACCTGCGCCGTTAAAATTTAACTTTAACGGACGTTTATTTGCATTTTGAGTATTTATTTGTGAATTACTATTTTAGTATGTAAAAATAGTAAAAGAAGAAACCTGGGAATTTCCAATTTCCTTATTCTCATGTAGTCCTATAATAACAAAATAAGTGTTTCATATTGCTTCTTTTTTTTAAATTATTTTTAATAAAACTCTTTTAAGGTATTTAACGGTTCTTGTTCATTATTTCTCCTCTCTCTACCATTTTTCGTTTCCTTTTTTTTCTCTCCTTTTTGTACTATTGTTAACCACTTTATTTTTCTATGATGCAACCCAAGTTTACAGGATAAACTAACAATGAGAATATTAACATAATATATATATACAAACTAAAAAACTAATTCACTTGGACTGAATTAATGAAAGGTAATGTGGTGCGTTTAATACAATGTCCCAAAACTTCTTCAATTACATCCATTTGTAAAAATGGTTACGAACAAAAAAAATGTTGAAGTCCTCATCTAAAATTAGAAGACAATAAGACACGAAACAAAATAATAGAAGAGAAAAAAATGATATAATGTTAAATGACTTTTTAGCAATCATTTAAAATTATGAAAATTTAAAAAAAAAAGGTTGAAAAACGCATTTGGTCTTTGAAGTTTCATTAAGTTGACGATTCAGTACTTGAACTTTTAAAAGTAATGATTTAGTTCATGTACTTTAAAATTGGTTACAATGAGTCCTTGTTGTTAATTACCACGTCATTTTTCTGTTAAGTCAACCAACGATCAAAGAATGCTTAGGGACCACTTAGAACAAAATTTCAAACTTCAGGGACCAAAAATGTTAATTTTGAAACTTCAGGAACCAAATTGACACCTAGTCCAAATCTCATAGACCAAAAGTGTATTTTTTTCCCTTTTTTTTTCTTAAGCTTAAACCAATTCAAGTTTGAACCAACCAAAGATTAAACCAACCACATCATACTTCCGTTAAATTAACTTAATTTTTAATGGCTGGAACTAAATTGTAATCAATTTTAAAATACATGAACTAAATCGTTATTTTTTGAAAGTTCAAGGATTAAATCGTTATTATATTAATAACTTCGTGACTAAATATGTCTTTTAACCCAAAAAATAAAAGAAAAAAAAATATCCCGTAACGAGTTGAATTAAGTTGAAAGAACACAAAGAAGAGAGAAAAAGGAGGTTACAATTTTTAAAAAAAAAACGAGATTTCAATGAAATTGTGATGAGATTATGGATTTTATTACAATAATTAAGAAAATACAATAGTCCAACACTTAGTCTTATTATTGTAGAGCCACCTGAGAGGAAGGAGCACATTACCAACCAAGCCTAACTTCCCTTTTTCATGTTCTTATTTCTTTTGATGTGGTCTTTCTTTTTTTTTTTTTCAATAGATTTGGAATTACTCCTCCGAAAATGTCAATGTTCCCAAACTTTGTGAGCAAAATTGTAGCCGCAAGCAGTGTGTGGTTGTTTTCTACAATTTCACTTCTTCCTTTACTCGAGTTTTCATAAGTTGGAGCAATACAACGAAATCTCAATTAACTAATCAAAGTAATATCAGAGGCAACTCTATTTTAAAACTCAAATCTCTGTCACATATTCAAAATCAAGATAAGGGAAGAACTCGGATAGAAGACTGTTGATAATTTCAATCTTCATCTTACAACTTAAAACCAAATTTCTTTACCTTCTGGTTGAACAAATGCTACATGTAGAAACTTGAAGAAGAAGAAGAAGAAGAAGAAGAAAGAACTATGAATTAAATCATTTATAGTAAATTACAGGAGCATTTGCCTTCAAATCCCACAGCCCTCCCTCCTTCACATACTCTAGATACCTTGCAAATTCAGGCTTCGCCGTCGTCTTCCTCTTGCGGCGAAAATCAAAGAAACTAAACAGAGGGTGTCCTCTGCTAGCTTTCTTCGACTGCCTGTGTTTCACTTGAGCAGTCTCGGCAAATACAATCTCTAGAGGCGACTTCCTCGATGCAGAACCGAGTACTCGGGTAGGCAAACTGGTTGCCCTCTTCAGCCGCCCTTCCAACAGGCTAATGGTAGGATCCTCCCCGAGTCGCTCGTACCTGTGAGGACACCTCCGTGTACTCAAAGCTCTCAACATGGCTACCCAAGTAAAGTAAACAGAACAAGCAAGCTGAGCAGGAACAAATGGGGGGCGCTGCTGAATGGAAGGTGGGGAGGGTTGGTTGTGAGAGATTTATGGAGAGTAGGCTGCAGCTTTATGGATTTCATATGGTCAAGATTGGCTTGCCAAATGCTACGTTAGCTAGATCATACAAGTTCCAATAGTTTGACTTTCTCCTGATTTTACCAACTACCATCAAGAAATATAGGTTTCACCTAATAATATTTAAGAACTTTGGAATCTTTCCAGTTACACACAAGGAAAGGATGTGCATACTCTTTTGGAAGGTGGGCTCACCTACCACTTTATTTGACTTTCTTTCTGTTAATAATATGATCAACAAAACAGCAGGAGGTTTCCTCGCACGTGCTTCACTTCCACATTTAAAATGTGCGCTTCGAAATGATACTGGCCATTTTCACTTACAAAAATGAATCAATGATTGACCTGTTTCCCTTTCTTCCTTGAATTCCTTGAAGCTTCCTTCAATTTAACATTTTCATACACAGAATAGAGGGCTCCGATGTTCAAACAAGACGACTCTATATCTCATTCAGTTGAATCGATTCACTATGAATCTGCTTTGACTTTACGAGTGGGATTCAAAAACTATACATGTTTGATGAGCATGACGGGTACACTTACCGGGACTACTGAAGTTACACGGGTTGCAGCCAAAAAGTTGTAGATTTATTAGTTTCTTTTACTAGACAATGACCTCGGACTACCGTTCTTCTGAGTTGAATTTGTTCCAAGCTTCCTGAGGACATGAAGGTAACAACCCAGAATATTAGAGGGAGTTTATACACCGCTGCAGACTGCAGTGCTTGTCCACAGGTGAGCAAAAAAATCAGAAAAAAAGGAGAATGCAACTGAAGCATGAGTTATAAGATTGTTGATATCAGTCTGAGATGGGGTTAGAGAGGATAAAATTGAATGAAAATAATAGAAAAGCAGAAACGTTATGATTACCACTTAAGTATTTTAATAAATATAAATTCAAGGACTGTGAAACAATGTGCCGGACAACTTGTTTATAACACACCTTTAGTAGATCAAAGACCTTCTCACATATATACTTTTGCTGAATACTTGCACCCCGTTGTTGTAATTTGTCTGGATGAACACACAGAGTGGCTTTCCTGTAAGCTTTCTTTACAGCAGCGGCAGTTATAACTTCAGTTAAGGGAATTGGCTGCCAACCACTATCAGGTCCAAGGATCTGCAAGCAACAGATAAAGTAGTTTCATTAACCGATGGAAGTGCTTATGCCCACGAAATTAGAACAGATTCTTCTGTCACTCATACATTTATAGAAGATAGAATCAATTTATTAGTCCAAGGGATCGTAGAAAACTCACTATGACAGCATCACAAACATCACGAAGAAAAGTAAACTAAAATGCTGTCAGTCTTATAAAGTTCGGTTAATAACTTCATCCAATTTATTGTGGATAAGAGCTGGGTCTGAAACTTTTCCTAACCTAAATCCAATAAATTTTTTATTGAATTTGATGCAAATATAGTGCATGATACTTCAAAAACTAGGGGATGCCAGCTGAAGCTTGCAATGATTCAACAGTGAGTCGTGCAAATGAGAAGAACAGTAAAACAAGGCATGCAGGAGTTCAATAAAGAACCATGCATAAGATTTTCTTTCTTTTCTTTGTACAATTTAGAGTCTACAAGCATGGAACAAAAGCGGCCACACGCCTTGAAAATCCACCACAAGATTCAATAAACCCAGCAGAATTAATGCAGGACACAACCTTACAGATAAAAATCAAACATAAACGTACATATTGCAATGTAGAAAGCAAGGCACGCAAGTTCCCTTCCTTCCCACTTGACCATCTCCTAACATCAGCATCCAACGTCTCAGCCAATCTCTGCAAATAGTAGAGTCCACAACATATCACGAGTTAAAAAATGACAACTTCCAAAAAAGTAATCTTGCTTGTTGTATCGAGAATTACATTTCTCTCAGCTTGCTCTCTTTGTGCTACAAGATCACGCATATTTTTTTCTGCTAGAGCTTTTGCCTGGAAGATACAGGAAACTATTAGTCATTTGGTAAGGCATACACAAGTCATTCACAAATCATATTGAAGGATCAGAATCATACTGCTCGTTCTGCTGTTCTTTGATGCCTCTCAAATCTGGCTTTACACCTTTGAGGTGACTCACCATCAACTCCTTCGTTCCTCTCTGCAGTGCAAAATTTCATGCACAGAACAGACAGCTCAGAAACCAGAAGAATGATTAAAGGCAAAAGATATAAATAGGGCAAAAAAGGCATTGCAGCTCTTATGGAACAAAAAACTGCAAACGCCATACCATCATAAGCTGAGTAGTAGCCATATCGTGAAGCAATGGAAGACCCAAAGCTCTGAGATTGTAGGCTGGGCTGACCCTGACATCCACCATCCATCTTAAACTCCACATCAAGATATGCACTAATAAAGTATTAAAAGAGTACTTGTGTCATGTACTTACAGAAGATGAAGACTTCTGTCTCATTTCGTTATTTCGGGAAGAAGCAGAAAATTTGTCAGAAACAGATCTTTCTATTCTCTCCCTCACCCCAAAGGAAGTTCTGTCAGATATCACTTTTTCCGCAGCTCGCTCCCTGGCCTCTGCAGTTGCTCTCTCTACTGCTGCACGCTCTGCCTTTACCCTTGCCTCCATAGTTGTCTTTCCTGCAAATGAGTTTTCTCTCGCCTCTGCACATGCCTTTTCCAATCTTTCACGTGCGTCTGCCAATGCTCTTTGCCGGGCTTCAGCAGTCATCCTCTCCAGAGCAGCCCTTTCTGCCCTTTCACGAGCTTCAGCACCTACTCTATCACGTGGTTCAAGAGCAATTCTGTCAATAGGCATTCTATCCTTTTCTCTCTCCCTTTCCCTTTCCCTTTCTTCTTCCAATTTCCGAAGAACATCATTTTCAAATTCAGCTTCTCTCCTCACTCTCTCGCTCTCTTTTCCTTTAGATGTATGGCTCTGGTTTATAATTTTTTCCTTTCTTTCGGTGGGCTGATTAGCATTGACTTCATGGGATACTTTGCTGCTCTTATGTATCCTTTCTGAAATAGTTGGCTGAGCTGTCTCCATTCCACTTCCTTTATCAGCCCTTACATTTACCTCCTGAGCTGCCACTTTCTGTTCCTTTTCTTCAACCTGGTGAAAGGACTTTGTTTTATCTTCCATACAACCAAACAGTTTCCTTTCTGGATGTTCAGGATCAGAATCCACTCTGCTGACAAACTTCATTCTCCCAATAAATTCTTCCATGCCAGCATCAGCTTGACCGGCTTTCTCATCACTTCTATCTAGGGGAAGTGATGTTTTCATATCTTCCATCTTAAGTTCATTCTCTTCAATTTCATTCTCCCCCTCATCCATGCTTGTTGAGTTTTCAGATGAAACTGCATCTTCCAAATTAGTTACTTCTTCTTGTGTATAGTCAGGTTTGGGTTGAAAGCTTGTTTCTTTCCCTGATTTTTTGGTCCATTCATCTAAAGGAAGTGGAATATTTGCATCTTCCATTTTAACTGGAACTTTATGATGTTCTACCTCAGCCTGGAACAAACTCGATGCACAAGAATCTTTGTTAAATTGCAGATTTTCAATTCCACCACTTTCTGATGAACTTTCATTTATAATAACTTTAGCCTCTCTCTCTCCACTTTCATCTACAACAGCAAATTCTAGAGATACTCCCGTTGAAAAATCAAGTATTGTGGGTAAGTGGTTCTCGTCATCATCCATTTGAAATGCAGCAGTAGATATCCCCAAATCCTCCACTTCCATATACGCTTGAGTTCCTATTGTTGGATTTACTTTCTGTCTGTCCAATCTCTCTATTTCATCATGCACCATACTTGTACCCTTGAGCTCTGCGTTCTCTTGAGAATCTTTAACCAACATCTGAGTCTCTTTGCACTTACCCACATCTCTTGGCATGCCTTCTATGTTCACCCGCTGAAATAAATCCTCAACTCCTTTTTCACATTCTTCTCTGTACTGAAAATCTTTTAACCATTTGACGTCAACTTCTGTCTCATGAGCTAATTTAAATCTCTCACTTAATCCAACTTTGACAGCCTCATTCTCTTTTTTCTCATGATCTTCCATCTCATGAACTCCTTCCAGTTGCCTTTCACCAGCCATCCGTTCCTTCAAGTCTTCTTCCTCCTCAAGAGCCATATTCAGTCTTTCCTTATTTTCTTGTTGCTCGAATACCATCCTCATTTTTTGCTCAAGTTTTTCCCTTTCAGAAGTCTCTGTCCGTAGTTTCTCTTTTTTCTCATTCCCAATGGTTTCTTCCATTTTATTTTCATTATTTTCTTTTCTATGAGATTCCTTAAAAATATTTTCCTTTTCCTTTCCTTTAACAGCATTTTTCTTTTTTTCGTCAATATCCTTTGGTGAAACAGGTTGCTCAACTCTTAACTCACTTTCCAGTTGTTTAAACTCAATAGGCTTTTCAAGTTTCTCTAGTTTACTAGCACCAGACATTGGCCTTTTTACTTCCACGAACTCTTGAGCAACTCCAAATTTCTTATCATTTGCTTCAAGATCGAAAACACCTTGCGGAATTTTTAATTTCACCACCTCTCTTTGCCTGGTTTCATTTTTACTTGGTTTTGGTTTAATCTTATCTTTCTCCTTTCCAAGGACTATATTCTCCAGATTCTTCACCTCATCGTTCACAAGATGAGCCTTATGGAATGGTTTCCCTAGCTTGTCTTTATTTTTCTCGTTCTCCCATGCTTCGGTGCTGGTCTCTGCTCCCATTTGTCCAATCACAAAATTGGAAATCTCATCATTGTTCACTGATTCAAATTCCTTTTCGGGCATATCTGCTCCTGCCAATACAAAAAACTCAGTGGCTTCTTTCCATTCACTACAGCAACCATAATTGTCCGACGCAAGGAATCTACTCCCACTTCTATTTGGTAAATACTTTTCAGCAACTGTTAGAAATTCATCTCCTCCATATGGCGTTGAACAAACTTCAGTTGCCTTCACATCCTTTTGCCTCTCCTCTCTAGCAGGCACTTTCATTTCATGGTCATGAATTTCACCAATACCCTGCACCTTTTCATTGGTCAAATTCTTACATCGATTTGGAATCTTAGTTAAATGTCCTTCTTTATCCCTCATATCATTTTTTGCATCCAATCTCATCCGTCCATGGACCCCTTCCTTCTTCCTCTCCCACAAATCTTTTGCATTTTGCAACTGTGCTTGAGCTTTTTCCATGGCTTCTTTCATAGCTGCAGCAGAGGCTGCTGCAGATGAGCTAGAATCTACCTCCACATCAAACAAAGGAAGAGAAGGGCCATCCAATATCACTTCAGAAGCAGCTTCCCTACAATTCAAAGTCATTTTAGTGCAGTCCCCATTTTGGGCAGCAAACATAGGAGGTGGACGAGAAGGTGGGGGCACTTGAGAGGGCTCCGTTCTAAGACTTATTTCAGATACAGTTATGAAATCCTCGTAAGGTCGACAAACACCTCTGCCATGTCCATTATGAGAAATAAGGTTATCCTTGAATGATTGTCCACAGCCATTACTGTCTAGTGGGGGTGGCATAGAGTTCCTTGGATGTTTGCCCCTCACCTTTCCAGTACTAAAATCTATATTGAGATAGCTATCATCATTGGTCTGCAGTGATGGATCATCAACTGTACCCATCGCTGAGGGCTGTGCTTCATCAACCAGGTATGAGAATCCAGGAAGCATCTCCAACTGGGTTACATGTGTCTTCCCATTTGATATATTTCCATTTCCTTCTCGGTTAACCTTGTTATACGAAATGCAAAACTCAGTGCTTTCACTAAATGACTGATTAGAGTCTCCATTTGATATGCACTGAGAATTTCCAGAATGATCCGAACAGTCTGACAAAGATTCAGTTCCAGCTGGAGTCCTGTGAATGACAAAAGCAAGACAACCGCGTTCTACCATCAAAGTTCTAGCATCATTAGGTCAATTATCAAGATCACAATCTACTCATAGACGAATTTTCTCATAGTATTCAGACTAGGAAACCCAGCCCATTAGGCACCTATCACTATTGACACTATTACTCAGGAGTCAACATACCATCATATTCACCTTCGACGGCCCGCACTTCGAACCAAAAAAAAAAAAAAAGGGACGTTTCAAAATGGTAACCACAACTAATGCCCAAAAAAATGAATATTTTTCTCAAAACCGAGCTAAAGAAGAATGCGCAACAAAATGTAATTAAGATACGGTCAATTTCAACATATGTGACAGAAATCAGCGAACAAAAGCAACAAAAGCCGATAAGTTTACGGCAGAACATAAACGCAGTCGTACCAAGCTTCGTCGGAAGAACCATCATCAACGCCCTTGGACGGGGCAATGAGCTCCTCGTAAGAAATCGCAAAATCTAGACCATCGAAGCCTCCAAAAACGTCCGCATAGTCGAATGCTGAGCTCCGCGCGTCGAAGAAGACCTCGGTTTCATCGACAGCAGGAAGATCAAGAATCGGAATAGAGGAAGCGCGGAGGGCGTGGAAGCTGCCGAAAATCTCACCGTAGTCTTCGAAGCGAGGAGACAAAGCAGAGACCCCAAACTTGGGAGGACCTCCATACACGTCGTCGTAGATAGTGTGAGGTACAAAAGCGCCACCGCCATTACTGCCATTGCAGATGTTCTTAGAAACGGAGGTAGAACCCCTGTTGGGGAGGCGAGAATGGGAGAGATTGTCCATGAAAATGTAGCTTTCTAGGTCTCAGTTCTTCGACAAGCGTGGTATATAGCGCTCGCTGTTCCCCTTTTTCTCACTCCTCGTGGCTCCTTCCCTCTCGCTTTCTCACTCTGCAGACAACCAGAGCCACTGTGATGCAAGACGAGACGAGACGACGACGAAGGAAAAAGGAAACAAAAATTCTTTTATTTTTTTAAAAAGAAAATAAAATGTAGAATGACGAGAAAGGGCTTGTGAAAACTGGAATATTGCGGAAATGGCATCTGTGGATATTTGTTTAAGAAACCGAAACTGAAAATATTAATGCTAATTGCTACAGAGAGAACCGGAGACCGGCTGGTCCCGGAGACGCAGAAGAAGGTAAGAGAGGAGACGGGAATATGAAGGAAACGGGGGAGCGGGTAAACCGGTCAGGATAGAAGACGAGGACAAAATCTGTAGCTTAACCACTCCCAACTGTGATCCATTTACGTCCATAAAATACAAAATTACAAATTAGTTACTTCCATTCCATTTTGGATTTTAATATATTTTATTACCCAATTTTGATCAATCAATTTCACAATATCAAATAATTGATAAGAAACCAAAATGGAGACAAATTTGAATGCCTAAGGTTCTGATAAGATGCCCAATCATTTTCATTTCGCTCTCTCTCTCTCTCACATATCAATATCCTAAAACTACCGCTTTATTGCTGTCAAAATATATATATAGAGAGAGATTACGTTGAAAATAATGTTTTTTTTTAATCCAAATTCCCGATCTCTTGATTTGAGATATATGTTAATTATTGCTTAATTATATTCGCTTTGACTTGAAAAATAACGTCTATTTGTTTATTTTTATTGTTTGAATTATGACTTAGTGCTATATACTGATTCAAACGTTTTGTGAAAAATAAAAATACATGTATTTTGGCTCTTCGTAACATTTTGGTTTTTTTAGGATCCATTTGGTGGCGTTTTGGTTTATTGTTTATGTTTCTCATTTTTAATAAAAAAATAATAGAATTTCATGGCCCCAACATCCATAGGTTCAATAACGACAAACCATTGTTTTTATTTATGTTTTGGAAAAAATTGGAAATGAGAGCAATAAACAATTAATTTGTTATTGTTTCTAAAATTTCTATACAATTACGAGAATATTTTAAAAAAATGAGAAACAACAGATACAAATAGTTGTCAAATGTTTAAGTTCCTTAATAAAATTAAAAACGAGAACAATAACGGGAAACGTTACCAAACGGACCCTTAATAATTTAATCTCTATAATTTAGATTGAATTTCTAACATTGAAAATCTTAGCTTAACCAAGCTAGAATATGAACAAGCCAATAAATGAATCATCTTTAATTTTTTTAAATTAAATTTCGATCCGTGTTTGCAAAATTTTAACACAAGTTCTACAAACAACAAAAAAAATCATTTAATATAAAGTTATAGTTACATTTCAATAAATATAAGTATCGTGTTGAAATTGTAATTGAAAAAATATGATAACAAATAAAATGAAAGGGCCAAAACGAACTATAATGTACCAAAGTTAAAAGGAAATAATCCAAAATAAATCCAAACAGAGGTTATAGAACCTAAAATGACATTTTAAGCTTCGAAAATTTATGAATAATACGCTCTTAAATAATGGAGACCATAATCAAACACCATGGGTGAAAGTACAAAAGCATATAAAATGAAAAGGCAAAACCAAATAGAATCATAAGAGATTCAGAATAAGATAATATGAAGAAGAAGAAAGAATGACCAGAACTTTGGTATATATTATATTGTGAAGAGAGTGGGGAAATCTCACTTTTGATGAAACTATGGAGTGAAGGAAAAAGTTTGTGAACAATAATATATTTTATTAATGTGGAAGGAATCATAGAAATCTTTAGTTTTTAATTACTTACCAAACACACATTACACAACTGACACTATCTTATTCTTTTCTTTTAATTACTTTTCCATATAATCTCTCTCCTTTAATTCTCTATATATCCAAAATTTCCCTAAAGTGTTCATCACTCTTCTACCTTTAATTTCAATGTTTATTCTTTTAAAGAGAAGCCCTTCAGCAAAATTGCATTATAAAAATTGGTCAATCTCCCAATGTTTGCATCTTTTTAGGGTGAGAATCCTATCAATGCAATACAATGATATTATATTGAAAACACATGTCTTTTAGTTTATAATGTTTTTGAATTTGTTAACTTGTGGGCTGTTTGTGAATAGATAATCAACCGAAAAAATAAAAAATAATTGCATATAACAACAAAGAGTGCGGAGAGAAAAAAAAACATAAATGGTGTGAGAAATCAAATCACCAATCATAGGAATGGATTTCTTCTGAGTAATAGGGATTTTGAGGTACTACTTTCCTTAAAATCTCAAGTTCAAATCCTACACTGGTTACATTGCAGCGGTCGGTATAGACAACGAACTCATGTATAAGAATCTACTAGCGTAAACCACACAACATTGATTTCGAGAAATAAAATAATAGTATGGAAATATCTTATTTATCAAATTGTGTACAAATCGACAATTGTGTGCTAAAAGGACAAAAATGAATTTGAATTAAATATATGCATTTTGAAGAATCTCTCCTATTTAAACCATAACTCATGGGCAGGTTCAATTTTTCATCCTTATTTAAATTGGCAATGTTTTCAAATAAAAAAAAAAATGTTCCTTGAGTTGGAAGTTGTATTATTATAAGCTTCCCATTGAAGCACAATTCCCATATCATAAAATTGATGGCAGATGTATACATTCTACAAAGACAAAACACCCATACATGGCCATGGAATTTTTGAAAATCTTGTAGCTTTTGTTTTGTACAAGCTTCATTCAAATCACCCACCAAAAAATAATTCCAAAAAGAGAGAGAGAAAAAAAAAGCAAAAAGTGAGAGAGGAGACATGAAGCTGAGCTATATGCTACATGGGATGATGGGCCCTTGTGTTTGTTGGCCACTTTATGACAATCACATCTTAGCCTAAAGCTGAATGTGTCATCATTCATTTCTTAACCACATGAATTTAATTAATTTTTCAATTCTAAAGATGTAATCTCATACATCTAGAATCAAATAAACTATATCATTGTTCTTGACGTTTTCATAACATCGACACAAAGAGTGAATCAACATTTTATTATATCGTAAAACAAGCGACAAGATGTAAGAAAAAATAAATAAAATATCACTCAGATGGATATGATATTAGTAATGAGAATTTTAAACTTATTTGAAAACGAGATAGGTTTATTTGTTAATTTAATATATTATATAAAATTTAGACCTTACCTTTTATCGACATTTAAATTTTTTATGTATCACGTAGCTCAATAATTACATTAGTACTATTTTTAAGATAATGCAGAAGAATAAAAAAAAAAAGAGAGAGTAGGGAGAGAATTTGATTTGGGCCCACAAATGGAATTAAATAGAATGAGTGGGAGGAAGAGGCAAAGAGAGGATTTTGAAATTTCAAAGAAAACTGGTCAAACTTATGCTGCAGCTTTAACCTGTCCATATATGCAAGCTCAGTTCGGCTACTTTTGTAGTATGTATTTTTAAAAAATTATTTATGGTTTAATTAACTTGAAAATTATAGTCAATTCAATCTTAATCCAATCTTGTCAGCTTCCCCAATCATGGAATTGAATGGGATTTGGTTGTTTTTGAGCTGTCCAATAACCATGTATATCTTCCAAATATTACATCATTTTGTAAATTTGGTATTATGATGTAATATAAAAATTATATATTGGATTGGGGAAGAAGGTGGTTGCTTAAAGATGAAGAGGATAACATTATTAAGTTTTTTTTTTTAATGTGGAATGATTAATTCAAATAATAGCAGCATAAAAAAAAAAAAAATAGCAGGCTGTGTTGGGATTAAAGGTGCAATAATCATTGGAACAAGCTTGAAACTGACTTTTTTTTTGTGTGTTTTTTGTTGGGCCACTGGACAAAGTCTGCCACCGACGGATATTGTCCAAATCCCACAATTGGGCCGAATTGAGGCCCACTTATAGCATGACAATGGGTTGATTCTGATTTTTTTTTTTGGTTGTTGAAATATTCGAAATTAGCACGTTTTCTAAAGAGAAGATTACGAGGAAGTGAGGTTGTAAGAGTTTGAATTAGGGCTGGATATTGGTCGGTTGGTGTCAGTTTTGGACTCCAGTCGACACTACAAATTGATCATTCAATTTTACTTGGTCGAAGATAGTTGGGTATGGTTCAACGAAGAGGAGAGGAGAGAGTGCATATCAATTACGGCTGAGCTATGTTCATGTTGGTAATTACATTTTATATTTAATGAGTATCAAAGTATTAAAAAAACAGCTGATGGATCAGAATTGGAATGTTTCGATTAAGCATATCTATAGAGAGGCCAATTACTATGCAGACTGGTTAGCTATCAGAGCCTGTCGACGCCCTCTTGGGGTTCATATTTGTGAAAAACCTCCTGGAGGGTTATATCCATTGCTGATGACAGATTTATCTAGGGCCACCATGCCCCGTTTAGCTATTGTGTAGTTTTCTTTCTCGGCAATTGCCCCTTCGTCTTCCGAAAAAGTATTAAAAATTATATATTAAGTAAGTATTAAAAAATATATATTAATTAAGCACTTTTCAAACTTCATTTTCGGAATACTATTTATGACTCAACACGAACAATAGTCACATTTATTTATTTATTTAATAAGTTAGTTGAAAGCTTCATTCCAGCTACTCCAATCAACTAACTTTACACGACTCCGACTTAACTGTCTATAAAATCGACAAATCGACGTCTTTTGATCGACCAAATCCCTTTTCAAGGTTGTGTCTGTACATCCCTAGTTGGATTATGAGATTTTCTATGTTGATATCATGATGAATGGGTAAAATCTAAAAAAAATTGGTGTTTGATAAACTCTAATAAAACTAAAAATAGCTTATCTGAATTTGGTAAACAATAATATCAACATTTTCCCTCAAATTCCTTAGATGAAGTGATCTTGACATTCAACTCAATCATTTTTTCTGACAAGTTTGACATTTGGTGATCAGTTATTACACACAGAGCCCTTTTCTTTTCAAAGCTGATCTAGAGACAATGACCCTTTAATCATAGGTTAATATCCCTAAAAAGAACCCACATAAAGATGACAAAATCTAGTCTTTAATATTAAAATTATCATATCCCCATCTTTAGTCTCTATCCATTATTTATAGACAAATCTTCAAAAACCAATATTATGACACAGCTCATAAAACAGAACAAGCTTCAATTTGGATAAAATATATTGCATATGGAAAGGCAGTATACACAAGTCTTCCACTTATACATCTTTAGAAGTAAAAAATTGACAGTTGAAGGGTTAAGGATGAGGCAACAAGTTTATAAGTAACCCAGAAGCCTCATTAATTATGCTGCTAATTGGTGCTTAACAGCCAGTCTCTTATTGCATTGAAAAAGAAAAAACTTACTGCCTCAAGCTTTCAACTATATAGGCAGCATACAAGTCCCTACAAATGGAAATCATGAGTGAGTTTAAATGGAAAGGAAATGTAAGTCCTCAAACTTTGCCAATCAGAAAAGAAACATGGGGGCTTACATGGAGTACTTGATAGCATCAATGGCGGCCTCAGCTGGAAGAAAGTCTTCGACATCGACTTTCTTGTTCTCGTTCTTCTTGTCTTTTTAGGTTCAAGGGATGTCAAGGAAAAACAGCATGTGAAACAAACACAAGTATGAAGAAAAAGTGATAGAGATTCTAAAGAAAATGCATTGAAGTGGATACAGTCCTCAAAGAATCGGCGAATTTCAGCCAGCCGGTGTGGGGGAATCTCCTTGATGTCCTTATAGTGGCGAAACTCAGGGTCATCGGCACATACTGCTATGATTTTGTCATCCCTTTCTCCCTGCAGGATGGTAAATGCTATAGTAAGCATCCCCTCTAAAGACTAAATCATGTGTAGGTAAGAGGGGAAAAGAAATCATGGGTAGAGAAAGCAGAAGAAACACGGTGCCGTTGTTGGAAGATAGTTGTTTCGTCGAACATAAAAAATCATGAACTGATTTAAGAAAAAAGGGTTATATATATACTTGATCAATCATGGGCATCAATCCAATCGCACGAGCTCGGAGGAAAGATCCAGGTAGCACAGGCTCCTGCACCAAATACAAAGAGAAGAACAACAGTCAACAAAGATAAGAAGTTGTACAAAGAGACAATGCACTTGACTTCATTGGATGCTACCTGCATCAGTACCAGAACGTCCATAGGATCACTGTCTTCACAAATCGTACGTGGGATGAAACCGTAATTGTGTGGGTAAACAACTGATGAGTAAAGAACGCGGTCTACCTATTTTCACAAATTTTATATATCAGTCATCTTCATTCTTCTCTATAACAAATCGACAAAGTATACATATATGATATGATAACATAACATGACTGCAGTAAGGAAAAATTGAATTAAATTAGAATGCAAGAATGTCAATATACCCCATTGTGCATAATTGCCAAATACAATCATGAGACTAATTACAAATTAAAATATTTGATAGTCAAGAAGAGTTAATATCCAAGCAACAAGCCTCAAGGGTGTGATCTATGGTGTTATGAATCAGACTATCATTCTATATATGCAAAGATCAAAGATTTTTGGAAATTTCTTCATTAGAAGAAAAATTGAAGACATCTATACTTCCCTCAAACTTCTAAATGAGAGACCATCATACTCAAGAACTCGAAACAATGTAACCACGCAAGTTTTATAATACTTCTTTTGTAACATTGCTGCATAGATTCAGTATAAAAGAAAAGAACAGTAAAAGGGTTGGTCATCACACTTTTATAAGGCCACTGGCCTTGTCAAGCTCATATTTGACTTTGCTGCCTTTGCTAATTTCGACAACCTGTCACATAATAGCAATACTCAGATGGAGTTTGGATTTGAAAGTGATAGAATATATATTAATATAATAGACTACTCATTTTATAAACCTCAAGTCAATTGCCATTTTCCCATCAACTATATTTGAAAGGGGGAAAAAAAAGAGCGGATAAAATCTAGTTGGGAACTCCCTTAATGAAACAGAAGAATGTCCTATTTCCATGAACTATTGAGAATGCATGCAGATACCGTTTCCTTCTCTGAACAATTAGCTCAAAGAACCAATCTCTTTGACACCTTCCAACAAAATTTCTTTGAAATTTTTTTGACAATTAGCGGTGTAAGCCTTAAGTAAACCCAAAAACCTTACACAATTGAAAATCGTCGGTGCACCCGGTCCTGAAATCACAAAATTGACCATTATTACTCAAGATGTAATGCAGATATATGATACAGACAACCTCAAGAATTAGATAACTTTAAGCATGTAGGATACAAAGCTAAAAGACCACATACATTCAGTAGCAGACTATCATTTAAAAGGAAAAAAAAAGGTTCACATACCAATCTCCAAGTCGTGCCAAGGGTGAGCAGCAACAGATCTTCGGGACATCGAAGAAAGAATTCTTTCATTGAGACTAATCCTAGGGAACCCTATATTTGCGGAGTTTCCTTCTCCACCAGTGTTTTCCATATTCACCTGGCACAATAGCTTCGTATATGTGAAGATGATTTTGATTTTGTTACTAGACAATACAAGTTTGAGTCATTGAAATGGAAAGATGGAAAGAGAAAAAAAAACACCACAACCAAAAAATCAGAGAGGAACATAAAGGTTATGAAATTATTCCCAACTAATCAAATCCTAACAAATTACAATAAAATTAAATCCAACGAAAGCAGACCAGTATCATATACGCAAAAGGATGTGCAATTATATATAGAAGAGGAAAAAGCAGACAAATCTGGAAGAAACGGGAACTGGAATACTCAAGAAAGTTCTTCCCAGTCGGGAATATATTGCCCAGTTGGAGAAGGAAAAAAGTACATAAGAAATGGACAAAAGCAGAAACTACCCTTCTTTTCTGTCCTCCCCCTTCCCGAGATACATGAGCTCTGTTTTTCTTCCCCATGGGCTCAAGCATTGAAGCTCATAACCCACATGCGAAACATAAAGATAGAGTAAACACTAAACCACAGCAGCGCCGAAGCACAGTAACCGAGTCAAATTAAACCCACAAAGGAAAACAGAAAGAAAGAATATCAGTTCCTCCAAATACAGAATGAGGCGAAATGGGTTTGGCACAGAGGGCATGCACTGAATCGCTACAGCTTACAAATTACAATACAATCAGAAATAGCTCCGAAACAAATGAAAGAAAACAGAGTGAAGGGAGAAACATCAGAAACATTGAACGATTAGAGGAAAAAAACTCACTCAGTTACTAGCAGAGCAGTAGCTGCGTCGAGATTAAGCTTGAATTCAATTTTCGGACACACAAAAGCGATGGGAGCACAGCAAATATAGTGGCAAAACAGATTCTATTCGGAAACAGGAGGAGGAGAGAATTTTGGGAGGGCGATGGGCGAAGCCGCAGAGTCAATCTTGGTCGTTGGATATTACCGGAGTCAATCCCACGGTCGAGGATGAAGACTCGTGTCAAAGCTCTGTTTTCAGTCTTCCAATTTGGAATTTTTGGAAGAACTGCGAGAGGATCTGAGTAACGTAATTGTGGGGGTGGGGGTACGGATGGACGATGAAGGCCCAATAGGATCTCTCCACGTAGCACAAAGCATTACGTCTTTGTTCCTTGGCTGCACTGAATCTGTCTGCCAACCAATAGAATCTTGCCACGGAAGAACGAGTACACGTCACATCAACGTACCTGATTCTGTCCTGCTTGGGGTTGATGCGCTCCGTGGGCGGCCAGTGGTATATCCACTGGTATCCGAGGCATATTTATTTGCTTTTGTTTTTTTGTAAATAATTTTTGTCACTTTTCAAAAGAAAATAATAATTTCGTCGGTTCAATAAAGGGTGGACTAATTTTCTAAAATCTCGACCGTTCAGTTTAATATTTTAAATTTTATTATTTAGATTAATATATTTGGTCCCGTAAACGGTTTGTATTGACTGAAGGAACCCTTAATTAACTAAAACGGTAATGATTCAATCTTTAAATTTTGTAATAATTTAGTTACAATAACTAGTTTTTTAGGTTTCTATATAATAAGCTTACTGTACAACCTAACAGATTTTGCCATTATAAGAATTAAATTATTAAAAAAATTGTAGACTACAAGAATTAAATCGATATATACTAAAATTTTAGTGATTAAATTGTTATAAAATTTAAACTCCAAACAACTATTTATAAAATTTAGAATATTTAATGAAAATGCATCAACTAAATATATTTTTAACCGGGTGAAGTAAACTATTGATATAAAATTAGTTAAATCACATTACAATAATTTTGAATACTTCAAATCCTCAATTTATTTCATTTTATTTTTTCATAACTATACGATACCAGAACCTAAAATTTGCTAAACAAGCCAATCGTAATGGCCAAAATGAACATAACTTGACGATAATTAACATATATCTCCAACCATGAGATTGTGACTTCGATTCTTCACCTCCATATGTTGTACTAAAAAATTATCTTTAATTAACATTAATAGTTTAGAATACATACATACAACACAATTCAAATTATTGTCTCTCTCTTTAAAATGATATCAAGTAAAAATAATTACTGTTACATATAAATGAACTTCAGTTATTCTTGTCTTTTTTTTTCATGTAAGAAATGTATAAATTAATTGACAAGTCCATATCATGATTGTTATTTATTTTGAAGAAAATCATAACAATGGAAAATAATTATTGTAAGCCGATGAGGTAGAAAATGATAATATTTAAGTGGTCATCGGAAAAATAGGTATCTTCCGAATTACAGCCACTAAAAAATTGATAGCCATTTATTCTACTTTCTCTCTTCTTTCATATGTCCATCTTTCAATGATCAATTTTTTTCAGTGGTGGGGGTGGTACAAAGGAAATACATCCTTACCATTAAAGCATCTAAGTTTTATCATTATCAAATTGTGGTTTCCTTTCTTCCTCCTTTTTCTGCAACACAATCATGTGAATTACAGTAAACCTTTCAAAAGTTTGCATCAATATCAACATTTTTATCGATCATAAACGAAGTTGGTGGAGCTCTTCCTGTACATGCTCATGAACTTCGCTACAAATTCTGCATGAATAAATTTGTCAAAACTTGAACGAGTTTTGTCAGATTTTGTATGTTGTAAGTTTGACAATAATAAAATATATAATTATAATTTACCTTCCAATTTGGGTAAAGCACTTGTTCCAGTCTCAGTTGGGAGTTTTTTGTTCTGCAAATGATACAGCCCCCAGTTATCAAACTTGCCAAACAATGTCTTGAGTAGGAAAAGAAAATGGAAAAAGTGAAGCAGATTGAACTAACATAATAAGCATGCCAGTAATAAAGTTCCCTCCTTGACCTCAGCTCAATTCTTTTCAGAAATTGTTCCACAAACTTCTGCAAATTGGGGACAGGGACACAACTCTTATTCAGAAGATAGTAGTATGGATGTTTTACGAAAAAACCCAACAACAGACGTGCTAAATGCAGAACCTGGAGAATTAGTTTCGGATGAACCGAATCAAGGAGAAGCTTCTGAATCTTTTCTTTTACTAGATGTAATCTGATAATAACATAGGAGAGTTAGAGATACCCCAAATAGAGAGTTTGCTAGAGAATAATCTCAAAGTTCAGCTTGTTTCACCTTCCCCAACCACATATACCAATAAGGAAAATAGAGTTACCTTGAATTTGATGGATCTTCGAGAATTTGTGCTGCAAGTTCTACCACGGGCTCTTCCCATCCAATAGGGATTGGCTGGTCATCAGCAAATGGATAACTGTAAAAGGGAAATTTTATTAGTTCTTAAGGATGATGGAAAAGGTCTATTTGAGTACTTAAATGCTGTTGTGTCAAACTCTAACTTGTGTGCCTTGCATGCTTCAAGTGCCATGATTGCTTTTCTCAGGTCCTGCTTTGCTTTACTAGCAATCTTAGAAGCAAAGTTCATGGGCAGGTCAAATTCTTCCTTCTCTGCTATTTGGATTAGTAACTCCATGATCTGGGAAGTTGGAGAATAGCCCAAAAACAATGAATTTAACATGATAATTTCAAAACATCAATCTTCTATCATATTGGAGCACGCTGAGAAGTAATGGAGACCAGAAACAAGATAGTGCTTACTTCATGATTTACCGGAGGGTTAATTTTGATAACTTTGCAACGGCTTATCACCGATTCAAGGATGCCTGTGTCGTCTTCGCAGCAGAGTACCACTTTGCAGGCATCCTTATAGCCATCCATAATCCACCTAAGCAAGTGTTGAGTATCCTCAGATGCTTTGTCTACATCTAAAAGAACTATCACTGGAATTAAGAATATCGAAGTCAGATCAGTGTTAGGTTTATGAGTTCATTAAGTTTCATCATAAAAATCATCTTGAAAGTGGACCTTTGAAATTTGCCTTCGGATTGACATTTCTTGCTTCCACATTAATCGAATACTCGCTGCCTATTTCTTTGGCCAATCCCAGCAAAGCATATTTAACATTTACTTCTGAGCTTAAATTAAGTTCCACATGGTGAGCACTTGATGTTAATGGAACAACAACTTGCGTCGCCTTTCTTTCCTGTTATGATACCACAATGAGCTCCGAGACTTGCTTTCTGTTTAAACTTTCTGCTCATTATAATGAGAAAGAACGTGTCCAATATTATACTATATATTCATAGTTACCTGGATCTGGAAATACCGCAAATCATGAGAAACCTGAAAAGATACACAATGAGGCAACCAACTCAATCAATGCCCGTGTCAAAGAAAGAAGATTTTTCTAATGTCCTACAGCAGTTGCAACAATGGAAGACATACATTCGAACATGAATCACCATATATCTCACGTAGAAGAGCCATCATTAGCAGTCGTTTGCCAGATCCGTGTGGACCCTTGATCAGAATGTGGGGAAAACTGTCTTGTGAAACCTAACAATATATTGAAATCTAAGTGTAAAAACAAAACTATGCACAAGTATGGGATCTAGTTGAAGTGTGCAGGAGTAAATTAAAGAATCCATCCTGCCTGAGAAAACTTACTAATTGCTTGAGAAGTTGGGCCTCATGCTTATGGAAAGTGAACCCATTTAAGGAAACCGGTTGATGCTGATCCGCCCAGAAGGGTCTCAAGTATTCGACAACATTAGCCTTTTCAATGAATGAAGCTTCATCGAGTGGTCGTTTTTCAGGCGATTTTGTTGTCCTGCAAGTCCCGTTCCTCATACATGAAAACCACAACTCATTCTTCTTCTTTCTTCTACTGGCTATAAACCTTCTTGTACTTTCACTCGTCCTTCCACTCACATCACTGATCTTACTACTTTCAGTGCTAATTCTATAACTATTTTCTCTACTTACAGCAGCACTATTGGTCGTGGTAGTTCCAGAAGATGAAATCCCTCTACCATTGAGGTCGACATTAGCATTTACTTGATTATAAGTATCACCATTCTTTTTAGACATGAATTTAGGCTTTGGACTTGTGTAGTTCAAGAAGGCATTTCTCTTTGCTGAGACATTGTTATTCATTCCAATGGCCAAGCTATCCCGTGAAAAGAATATATCACCCGGTGAGATCGACCCCGTGCTTTCAACCACCGGTTCATTAAAAGTGGGACCTCCATAAATCCTCCCATCTGCAATCATTTCATTCATCTCCCCAACTGACATAGAGTTCACCTGGGAAACATCCCTTTGCTGCTGTATGGAGTAGTTCACCTGCAAGGATGGAGCTGCTCTCTCCCTTCTTTGAGATAAATTATTAACAGTATTCGGTTGTTCATCCCTCATCCTCAACCTTGGAGCAGTCGCTGATCGCCTATTGTAGCTTGGTTTTTGACTAATTTTGTTACCTCCATGAGTATAAGTCAACTTTTCATCTTTTCTTGCCCTCATGCTAGATCTTCCGATGTCCTCTGCCGCCGCTTTAAATGGAGATTCGTGTCTTCTTCTTTCTGCTCTCGACATGGGGCTGATGTTTCTCTGAAGCATCACAAGAGCACTGTCGTCTTTGGCTGGCCTGTAAGGTGTTCTGCCACCGTTCCTTCTTAAACCAGGAGGAGAAACATTCGCCGCCGCACTGAATTTCTTGGATACTGCCGACCCTGTTCGTCGATTATCGTAATCCAGGACAATTTTCTTCTCCTTAGGGTCATTCCAAGGGCTTTCTTGCCATTCTGTCTCTGTATCAGACGGTTCATATCCATCCTTCCTCTGCTTCATTAGGTTCAAAGCTGGACTCATTTGACTCGGGCGAATTGCATGAGCGATGCGAAACCCTAATTCAGAGCGTCGCGGTCTTCGCCGAACGATTTGAGCAATTGGGAAATATAAGAATCTCGTGCCACTGAATGAGCGATGCAAAAAACAAAAATTATAGAAGAAAGATGAGGGGAACAAAGAGAATGGTATTTGAAGTGAAATTCAACTCCTGCAAAATTGTATGGATGCTCGAGTCCAAGAAATCGATGCTTACTATGTTATTCGTCGATGGCGACGATGACAATAATTCTTGGAACCGGAGAAGACAAAATAGGGAAACTGGTGCATGATTACAAACAGCTATCAAATTTGCTGTGTGTTTTCCTGAAATTTCTAAGACGGGCTTCGAGAAAGGAAGGTGTTAGGCTTTGTCTTTGCCGATATCTCCAGATATTGTCTTTATCCTCCTTGGCCATGGTGGCTGCGGCTGCAGAATGTGAAATACGGCAAAGTTCGAGCTCTACGAGAGAGTTGTGCACAGAAATAATGGCGGCCATTGGTAATGAACGGAGAACAGTCGTAAAGCCTTCTTCTACTCCAGGCGTTCATGGTGTTTCATCTTCTCGCTCCACTTGATATCCTGTTTTTTCTCTTTTTTCTTTCTTTCTGACAGCGGTACCTTTTTTATTTTTTAATTTTAAGAAACGTATTATTCAGTTTTCTTTATGATTGAGATTGGACCCATCATGTTTTAACCGGAGATATATGTTAAATGGTAACGTTGATATAAAACTCGTAACTTTGCTTTTGCCTTTAAAAGGCTATATACCGTGATTGCCTCTTCCTCTTACCAACGGGATTTTGTTTATATTTCTTGCCATCCCAAACAAAAATATTTAAACACACAAATTATGTTCAATAATATTTAATACAGAGTTGATAGAATATTTATTGGACACTTTTTAAAGTTTAAAACGGTATCAATCACATATTAAAAGTTGTGGATCTATTATTTTACGTTATAAATATATATATCGATAGAGCATAATCCAGTAGTTAATACATCTTATTTATTCTCTACAGGTGGAATGTTTAACCTATCCGTATCATTCTCATTACTAAAAAACCTTACATATAATATACATGAGAATTCAAACATACCATTATTTGAAAGAGGTAAAATTATGTTTTAACCCTAATATTTGATGAGTTAATTCCTCTCTTCTCTCTTACTTTCTTTTTGAATGGTTAATTTTTACAAGGTGCAATTTTCTCATTATAAAAATTTAAAAAATCAATTTGAACCTTTATTTATCAAAGAGGGCATTGGGTTTTTTTTTTATATATATATATATATATAAAATGCGAGAATGTACGATTGGAACCTATAACTTTTCAATATAATATATATACATCTTTTAACTCATGGAACAATGTTAAATTGATATTATTGAAGTTTTACTCCAAATAAATCCAGACCCATTTAATGACATTGGGATAGCCTAAAGTAAACAAAACAAGTATTGGTTTCAAAACTGAGCGAAATTTCAAAATTTAATAACAATACTTTACAAACTATTCTTAAATTTTTAATATTTGATTAATATTTTAAAAAATTATTTATATAAAACAAAAAAGTATTAGTAAATAAATATATATTTTTTAAATCAAATTATTATCACAATGCGTCTTTAAATGTGGGAAGTTTAAATCATAAATCGTAAAAAGAGTAGAGGTGGTAAATAAAAAAATTTCACCATTAAAATAAAGAAATTAATATATGTTGAAGTAATGCACATTTCACACAGTACTTTTCGAAAGTAACTTTTAAAAACAATCCAAAATAATACTTGTCAATTTGTCACTAGCAAATTGCACTAAATCTTTTTGGCACGTGGTGGAATTTGTCATTTAGGTTTTGTTTTATTTTTTATTTCCGGAAAAAAAATTATCATAAAAAGCTTAGCTACCAAACCAAAATATCCTCACTTGCAATGAAAGTGGCCCAAACGATAGAACTGGTTGTATATTTTTTTTAACTTAAAATAAAGTAATAAACTAAAAAATAAAATTGGAACATTTTTTCTAATCCCTTGGTCGTCAACTTTGATAGTTTAGTCTTAAAACGAAAAACCAAATTTACCCTTTATCTGTACCGAATCAACTTTTATCTGAATTGAATTAAACCTCAAACGTATAGAAAATATATAATTCATTAAAAAAAAAAACTAGAAAAAAAAAACGTCTAAACTAAACCATAGCCAAGTAAAAAAAAAAAGTTATAATTTTGTAATAAAGATGTCTAAATTCAATAAAAAAAAACATGCAACCAAATCTAACTAAAAAAATCATCAACCGAAACATAGTTCATTAAATAAAATCAACTATGGATAGTTTAATTATCTATCCTGCCTTTGTTAACTAATTAATAACATAAATTCATACCAAAGTAACTTTATGTAAATGAAATGCTCACACAATAAAAGGTGTTTTTTTAATCTAATTTGCAACTATTAATAATAAGATAGCAATTACAATAGACAAAATCTCTCCAATAATTGAGGATTATCTCGTCACTAAATGGAGATAATTATTTTTCTTTATGGATTATGATTGTGGTATGATGTAAACCTTAATGGTATTATTTCTTTTTAATGAAAACGACGGTTGGTCAACGTGGAAACTAGATCAACAGCACTATCATACTCCACTTTTTTCTTTTATGTGATTTTCTAAGAAAATATAATCTTTATAGTTTTCCGACTGTATCAAACACCATATGATTTCAAAATATATTTTACTAATTAATCAACTCAGCTTCTTCAACATTACATGTAAAAGAAAACAAAAGAAGTGAACGTACAATTTGGGAATACAATAAAATAATATAAGAAAATAAAAAAGTACTACAAACTTTGAAAATTTTCAAATAATTCATGAAAAAAAATGCGGAGTTTAAAAATTTATCGAACTTTTTAAAGGGTAAAAACTAGGCTTGGAGCAAAGCGATAATTTAACCACATGAATTAAAAATCAGAGAAGGCAGAAGACGGCACTTTGAACCTCAGAGTGAGAAATAATCTGTTCGTCAGGGCGGTGGAGGAGAATTCCGGTCGACGGAACAGAGAAAGATGAAGAACAACTTTTTAACAACACGGCGGAGGATTTGGCCGCGTTTTGGAATCCGGCGAGGAGCAAGAGAAGACACGGCGGCCATTTTGGGGCAACGGGCAATGGCGGAAGACCGAGAGGCTTTGGCTGAGAATTGAAGAAAAAAATGAAATTAAAACCGAGTGAGAATCTGATATAAATAGGCGAAAAAGAGTCGAACCAAAACGCGTGGGCACGCGTTTTGGCTTCTATCAGCGCAGACAAAAGAAGTGAAAGTTATTGAACTAGGCACCGGTAACCTTTTTTTTTCTTGAATGTATTAGAACTTTAGTTTAACTTTTACTGCAACAGATCATGTGGCGACCGAACTCAACGACCTCTAACTAAGTATATGTTAATTACTGTTGAGCAATGTTCGTTTTGACTCTAATTTGATGTATATGGTTTGATTTAAACCTATAAAGTTGTCCTTTTACCTGTCTAAAAAGCTAACCAATTTCTTTGATATATTTTACTTCACAAAAAATTCTAATATAGTCCATTAACAAAGTTAGCTAAAAAAAAAAAAAAAATTTAAGAAAACATCAACTCATTGTCACATGTACATTGAAAGAGTCTCAATTTATAATGACAAAGATAAAAACGATTGGTGAAGTTTAACTAAATTATATGATATTAAATTGTAAACTTTAAAATGGTAAGTATTAGTTAAAATGAAGCTCTAACCATAAACATTATATTTAAAGTTATAAGAATCACGTTGAAACTATAATTAAGCTGCAATTTGAAAGAGTCAAGTTTATTAAATTGGCCAAAAGATTCAAAGGAACATGCATGGTCTTCCTACGTAAACCAAGTCTTCTCTTATTTTTAGACAAATCTTTTAATTATTTTCTCAAAAGATAAATCGTCAGATATTCGTGGTCAAGATTAATTCTTTACAATTACTTAATATATCTGAATTTTAATTTACGCCTTCGTGGATGTTTGGTTCTGTACTTAAATAATTTGCATATTTTTTAGTACAATATGTGAAGTGGGATCGAACTCACATTTTTTAATTGGAGATATATGATAATTACCGCTCAGTTATGTTCGTTGGTTATAAATAATTTGTATTTAATAAATTTTTCAAATAAAAAAATGTCTAAGTGTTTATAAAAGGGAAAAAAAAGAAGTTATACAATACATCTACTATATTTAAAGTTTGCATCTAATATATCTTTGAAATTTAAAAGAAGGTCTATCTCAATGAAGTAACTAATTTTTAATTATGCATATATGACACTCTACTCTTAAAATCCGTGAGATTACTTATAAGTTGACAATGTATCAAATAGATTAAGGGTGTGTTTCAGTGATGTCAAAATCACTTACTTTTTCATTGCGAACTAGAGAATTGATTTTAGGAAAACTTAAAATCATTTTAAATTTATTTTTAAAGTATCAGTAATTTTGGAAAATCAATTACTCTAAAATCTCTTTTTTCAAAACCACTAATTCTATCATCACTCCCAAACACATCCCATGGATAATACTTCATTTTTAAATTTTTTTGATGAATCTCTTCTCTTATAATCTAATCAATGTATCACCATTAATTATTATCAATGGCACGAACATAATTCAATATCCCTTGGTTGAAAATATAGTGATATATATATATATATATATATATATATATATATATATATATATATTCTTTTTCTTTTTCTTATTTTGAATGAATATTAATCGATAATAGAGGGACCATAACCAACGTTTGTTTTTTTGTTTTTTAATTGAGGACCAAAGATAATTGATGCAGCAAACTTAATTATGATGAAGCTAAAACCCTTCTTAGTTCAATGACGCAGGAAATAAAGTTATATTATTAAGATAATATTCAAAAAGCTGCAAATCATATATAATAGAATAGGATAAATTTTTTATATCAATTTTATCTTTTTATTATAAATTTCTTCATCATTATTTTGAAGTCAATTTTGTAATTGGAGCATAAATCTATCTCTTATATAGTACTCCTCCAACTCACACTCTCTCTACTATTTTGTCTCATCAAATTTCTAAAAAAATGAATCTTCTCATAATCATAAAAATTAGTTAATTATTGAGTAACAAAGGGGTACAATTTTTATGCTAATTTTACTATTTTATTATAATTTTTTTTACTATTATTTTGAACACAATTTTAACATTAAAATATAAATTTCTTGATCTCTCGAAATACTCCAACTAACAAACCCTCCCTCTTCGGGATTTTGTCTCATCAATTTTCTCTCAAATTAATCTTCTCATAATCATTAAAAAAATGGGTTATTTATTGGATAACAATGCAGGGTTATTTTGTTGTTGTTATTATTCAATAATGTCAAAATTTGACCACGTGAGATTTTGTTTGTTGTTTCTATAAATTAATTAAAAAAAAGTTATGCATTATTTTTAATTATAATTAATAATAAAATTTCAAAAATTTGTAATTTTTTTTTTATTTTCTACAGCTATATAAAGAGCTATTTCTTACCTTCTTTATTATTTTTTCCTACCAAAACATGAGCCTTATTTTTTAATTTGGTATATTTTTATCCTTTAGTTAATGTCTTGCATTTTCTTATATTTTAGTGAGATTATTTGGTATAAACTTCATCTTTTAGTTTTTTTCCATGTAATTTTAATAAGTGTATTTATAGAAAATATTTAATTACATAAATAAGAGCTCGAAGATGACACACTTGCATTTTTTCTTTGTTAATATATTTCTTCATGACTCAACTAAGAAATCAAAACAAAATTTTCTTTCATTTTATGCCTACTACTTTTAGGAAAAAAACGTAAAAATTTTAAAAATACGCGTTAAGTTGTTTACTTAGCACATATTGAGAAGCATCAGTTTTTGCAAAAGTAAAATACAGGAGCCAAATTTTAAAGTTTTATTATGAAATTTCATTTGTGTCATTACTGGTAAAATATTAAAAGTGGCCAATTAACCTTAAAAAAAAAAGAAGACAAATAACTAATTAATTTTTAAAACACAATTTAATAAATTAATAAAAGCTAATTAATCCAAAAGTAAATACTTAATAAAATAGTATTTTAACCTAACTAATTAATTATCCAACATTTCAACCTACAATCATAATTGACGAAATTAAAGATTGAATTTTAATAACATAGGTGACACGTCACAAGAGTGAGAAAAAAAAACCCTTCGAGCTTCGGGCACTCAATCTGGCTTTTCCGGGAAATTCTCTCTCCCGACTCCGGCCAGAAATTTCGGAAACTGGCCGTGTCGTTGGCCGGAAAATTTGGAGGAGCACTTAATCTTCTCAAATTTGTTACCGGAAGTTCCACCATGGAAGCTCCGGTCAGGGCATTCCGCCCCTATGTTCTCAATCGCCGCCTCTTCTCCAACACACTTCCTCCTTCGCGCCTCCTTTCATCTTCCGAATCCAATCGGAGCGCAATTTTCCGGCAATCTTCAACCTATTTCCCTCCCACTCCTCAAAACGGATCGGTTTCCAAAATCTCGCTCTCAATCAATCTTTCTCACGGCTGCTCCTCGCCCTTTGGATCTTCTTCCTCTTCTCTCGGCTCCAGCCCTTCTGATTTTCTCTCTTCTCTTCCCTCATTACAATCTCTAGGCTCTCAATTCGCGCCTAATCATTTCAATTCGTCTCTATCCGACCCAAACGGCAGCGCCTGGACATGGAATCGAGCTTCGGAGAGTGCAATCGGTGGAAACGTGGGGGTTTTGGGGGGCGAAAAGCGAGCGGCAACCGTCGTGTTGCTAGGTTGGCTCGGGGCGAAGACTAAGCATCTGAGGAGGTACGTGGAGTGGTACAATGCTAGGGGTATCAACGCCCTGACGTTTGTGGTTGATCCGAGAGAGTTTCTTTGGTTCGCGTTGAGTCGGAGAGTTGAGCAGCGGATTTCGGATTTGGCGGAGGAGCTCATTTCTTGGTTATCGGACGGGAAGGAGAGTGATAAAGATCGGTGCCTGATTTTCCACACTTTTAGCAACACGGGATGGTTTGTGTAGGTTGAATTGAATTATGTTATCGGTATCCTATTGGAATTCCTTCTGAGACTTCAATTTCGACCTAGAATTAACTTTGTTTGGTTCTTCTTCTTTCAGATATGGATCCATTCTTGAAATTTTGCTGGGGCGGAAGGATTTGTTAGAGAAGATCAAAGGGTGCATTGTTGATTCTGGAGGAGGTGAGCCATTGAATCCTCAGGTAACTGATAGCTATAGAAATTTTGGAACTCTGCTGCACGATAATATATTTGATCTGAAGAGTTCTAAATTGTTTACTGGGTCAAACATCAGCATATCAAGGAACTTTCATTCATCACAGTAGTTTACATCATAATGAAGAAACCCATTTGTTAAAAGTATAGTAGGAACTGGTTACTAAAATATGAATCTCAATTTCAATCTGTCACTTTGATGCTCTCTCTCTCTTTCTTTCTTTGGATCCAAAATTGTTTATATCAGAATGTAGTCATTGTATACCTTGAAGTTTTGTTCTTCGCTCAGTTTTCCAAGGCTTCTAAATAGCTGCGAACCACAAATCTTGGTTATATTTTTGATGCCATAAACTATGGGAACATATGCAGACAACCAGTTAGATAACTTACATTGTTATATTTTGTTTTAAATGTTTCTGAACCTCCATAGCAATAAGATAATTTCTTGCTTGCTCTTATCCAATCTGTTTTTCTTTCCATTTTTTATTCCCATTCAAAGTGGAAGAGAGATGCTGATATCATCTTGACGACCCTCGCAGGTTTGGGCAGCTGGATTTTCTGCAGCCATTCTCAAGAAAAATAGTTCGTCTGCATCTACTATGGTTAATGGAGAGGAAATTAAGGAAGCACAAAAAGAAGTGAGTGAGCCCAAAACTATAGACAAGAAACCTCTTGTATTGGAAACCTTTACTCTATCAACACTGGAGAAGTTTTTCTCAGTCGCTCTGAAGTTGCCATATGTCGACGAGTAAGTTATCTGATTATTTCTAGAAATCGATCCATATTCATGTGAAGATCAAACGGCCATACTCATATTATATCGATACATATCAATTGTTGAGAACTGACCATTTCCTTGCAGGAGATTGAAGAAGCTTGTTTCAGTTCTTACAGAGAACCAGCCCTTGTATCCTGAGCTTTATCTGTACAGCGCAGGGGACAAAGTTGTGCCATTCGAGTCGATCGAGCTACTTATCGAGAAGAGGAAGAAGACAGGAAGGAAGGTTTTGTCATACAACTTCGGTTCTTCGCCACATGTTGACCATTACAGAGCATACCCTGATATATACTCATCGCAGCTTCACAAGTTCTTGAACGAGTCTTTTTCTGCATAGTTGCTGTGGATTTTCCATAAATCCAGATGAGGGAGTGTTTGGATGAAGATCCGGAAGGAGTGAGATCACTTCATTAGGGAAATAATTAACTTTTCTTGTTTTTTTTTTTTTTTAGGTTCAACGTCAGGGTTCAAATAAATGGATCAGCTAAAGCTCCATAACAGGAAGCTCCATAATAGGGGTGAGAAGAGACGCCCAATTTCAGAGGTTATTTTTCAAACAACAATACTTGGTTTAGAAATACTGATATATCACTGAAAAAATTCGACAGTTTATTATTTTCTTAAATAACATAAAAAATACTTCTCTTTATGCATTTCTATCACCTATGTGTTAAAATTTTAATGTTAGATCACAAAATCTAAATCTATATGTAGACCAATTAGCGCCTCAGAGGTGGAGGTATATACCAATTACCGTTAAACTAGGTTCGTTTTGGCTAATATTTTTCATTTTCAATACATACAAGTATTGAAAAATAGAATAAAGTTGTTACTCTAATTGAATAAACTATCTATACTCTATGTCAAGAATTAGTATATATATTTTTCATATAAAGTGATTGTTGATTATTTTCACTATTTAAATCACGAAAAAAATATCATGTACTTTTAATTTAGTTGAATGAATCATTTGAAAAGTGCTATCTTTTTCTAATGGAGTTCATTTCAATTTTAAAGATTTTATTTATTTATTCATTTGGACGCTTGCATATATGGTCAAGTAAGTCAAATTGATTGTAAATAGAGTAACAACAATCTGGATTTGCAAATATCACAAAAACAAAACAACCAAAATTTTACCCACGGAAAAGATTGAAATGACGACTATTACAAATAGACTTAAATGAGATATACGAGGTTAAAAAGAGAATAACAGAATTAATATATAAAATAATCTTTTAAAATTGAATGGTTGTGACAAAGTTTAATAACGTCTTACATGTTTTCTAATAGGAAAAATTGATACAAAATAGAATTCGAAATACACCCATCAACCATGCAAATTTGAATATAACTCAATTGATTTAAAGAAAATACACCAACTATAAGAATTTAATGATGATTTTAAATTAAATTTGTAAGTATAATATTTAACCATTTCATTTGGGTTGTCTCAAAATTAACTAATTATGCACTGTTTGCTAAATTATTTTCAAATTTGTACTAAAAAAATTTATTTTCAAACTCGTTCTAAAATTTATTTTCAAAAATTGTTTTGTTAGACCTCATTTTAAAGAATTGAAATGGTAGCTACGTCATGAAATTTGTCACAAATTATGATTTAAAAAATACATTTTTTTCCTTTATTTCAAAAATGGTAGGGCTGTCCAATATAAGCATAGTTTATCGGTTAAGGTATCTTGCTCATTCTCTTGAAAGTTGTAGGTTCAAACTTCTACCCTCGCATTTGTTGTACTAAAAAAAACAAATTACATAGTGAGATCCAACCTTTTAACTTTTGAGATAATAATAAATGTCTTATTCATAAAATATTCTTGAATTGTCGTGGTTTAAAAAATAGTCAACAAAAATAATATATATATATATATATATAGAAACTTCTATCAGTTCAAAAAAAATAATGATCAATTTTCAAATAATTGCTCTAGAAAAATAGTAAATGAAACATATTTTTTCAAAACTTTTCAAACAAACTAAAGTTTTGAAATTTTAACCTTGTTTTTCAGGATAGTATCCAAGTTATTGTAATAACAATCCACTTAAATTGATTAAGACACATTTATCGGAGATTTGAATTTTCGCCTGAAGGTTGAATTACAATAGAATTTGAGTACTTGATTGAATTATGTTTTTTTTTTTTCTTTTTTTTTGTTTGAAAAACCATATTACAATTATAAGACAAGTTAAATAATTCATGGACTCAATTTATAATTCAAGTTTGAATTAATTCCAAAACAATTCTTAAAAAGAAAAATTAAATTGAAAATAAATTTGAGAGTGGCAGTGTGGTCGTCGTTTTAATCTCCCGGCTGCAGTGCACGTCTGCCGTAACCGCCCGATCGATCATGGTGGAGTAACTGTCTTCCCAAACAACAACGGCTACTTCTACTTCACCATTGTAAAACCAAATTTCAAATTTCAATCCCATTTTTAAACCCTCTCACCAAATTTACTCTCAAATCTCCATCACCATCCCTCGCTCTCTTCTCAAATCTCAAATTTCCAAACCCTAGAGTTTCTTCCTCGTATTTGCTCCGGCTAATCATCCCCCACACACGAGGTACGTTCTCTTTGTTTGTGCCTCAAATCTTTTGGAATGGAATCTTGAATGTTCTCAAGAACAGTATTCTTTTTGCAGAAGATGAACGATTTGATGACGAAATCGTTCTTAAGTTATGTGGAATTGAAGAAGCAGGCGCAGAGGGACGGAGACTCCGCCGCTGGCTTCGACATTGAATCCGGCGGCCAAGAACTCAACCCTACAGAAGAACAGAACCTGTCTCTGTTTTTCCGACAAGTCGACGAAATCAAGACCGAAATGGAAGAGACCACCAATCTCTTAACCGATCTTCGGAAACTGAACGAAGAGGCGAAATCGACTCACAACGCCAAAATCCTCCGCGGCCTGAGAGACCGAATCGACTCCGATATGGTCTCGATCCTCCGAAGGGCAAAACTGCTCAGAGAGAAATTGGCCTCTCTCGACCAATCCAACGCCGCGAACCGCCTGATCTCCGTCGCGTACGGCGAAGGCACCACCGTCGATCGGACGAGAAGCTCCGTCACGAGCGGATTGAGAGTGAAACTCCGAGAGATGATGAACGATTTCCAGTTGTTGCGGGAGAAAGTGGTGGCGGACCACAAGGAGGATCTGAGGAGAAGATATTTCGCGGCGATCGGGGAGCAGCCGAGCGAAGAAGTGATGGAGAAGATAATGTCCGGGAGTGTGAAACTGGAATCGTTTGGGGGAAAATTAAGAACAGAGTCCGAGTTGGGGGAGCGAGTCAGGCACGAGTCGGTGATGGATATTGAGAAGAGTTTGAATAAGCTTCACCAGGTGTTTCTGGACATGGCGATTTTGGTGGAGAGTCAGGGGGAGAAGATGGAGGATATTGAAGAGAATGTGGCGAGAGGTGGGAAGCTCATCAATGGCGGAACTTGCAGCCTTTACTATGCGAATCAGATGAAGAGGAAGAACAAGAAATGGGTGTATTGGGTTTGGGGTGTGATTTTCGTTATATTGCTTGTTTGCATCATTGCTATGTTGGTTTCTTAGAATTCTCTCTCAGACTTCAACTCATAAATTGAGAATTTTGTGGTCACCACGTTGTTTTTGGTTTTTCTTTACTTATAATACAAAAGATTGAATATTGTGAAATAACTTCAACTTAATCACAAGATTCCAAGGAAGAAAAGCCTTCCCATCAAATTGAGAAACTAGCAAATTAAGATATGTAGTCAAATAAAGAGCGAACTAACTAAGTTGGTATTGATGCCTCTACTAGAGACTAAAGAATCGAAAAACATTGACTTATAACTTAGTTGAAAAGCACGGTATAGAGTTTGACTAATTGAAAAAAAAAAACGGTGAGAAAATAATCATAAATGTTAGGAACATCATACTAAAAATGAAATTGCTATCCAATGGAATTTTATATTTGTATTTTAGAAAGTCTTGTGGGTAGTCACATGAGTATCTCTTCTTGAGTATTATCTTGACTAGATAAGACTACATGGTATGAGATTTATTTATTTATTATTATTATTATTATTATTTTTTTTTGAAAAAGACGTATGAGCTTTCTTAGTCCTATTAATTTGCATTTTTAGCTAGGTTTGGATATTTTATTTGATAGTATAAATGCTATTTTATTTGGCTTTGTGGTCAAGTTCAGACATTTTCATGTTCTTTTAAAATTTTGTGTTAACCATTACTCTAAATAAACCATTATTTTTTAAAAGGAATATTTAACTACTTATCCGTTTAGTTTTGTGGTTAGGTTTAGAAATTTTTTTTTTTTAGAGAAAAATACTTCATTAATCAACCGAAAATATTTGCAAGGTGATGGACAAGTAATTCGCAACGGATCAACCTTTACAAAATCACAAATCCCACCAGAATCTTGCGAATAACGAATTTCATTAACAGCCCAGAAAATTTCTGTCAAATCGATATCTTCTCATCTCAAGAGCGATACCACCTCCGCAGAATGAGATTCCACTCGGATTGAAAAAGTCACAAGATAGTTATTCGCTCGAAGCCCTTCAAGAACGGCCATGGCTTCCAATGCCTTGATGCTACTAGGGTCGTCCACTAATTTGTTCCCCGTAAGAATAATAGCGCCCTCCCAGTTCTGAAGCACCCAGCCGAGAACGCCCATCTAATGAACTACTGACCAAAAAGCATCAACGTTCAGCGCCTAGGTATGGAGGGGAGGAGGTATCCATCTTGACACTCCCTTTAATACACTACTCTGAAATATGATTTGTCTTGTATCATAGGAGTCTCTTGTTTTCGTGTTGTTCTCTAAAATATATTTTTTTGTCTGCTCTAACAAAATTGCAAAATTGTGTTGTTCTCCTTTAAAAATGATGTTATTTTTGTGACTCCAAATCACCTACGACCCGAGCAGAAACACTTCCAATTCGTACTTAATTGAGTTGTCTAAAATCCACGCCCAATAGTCCTCCATGTTACAGCTTCTTCTGTCAATGTTAAAAAATCCAACATTAGAATTTAGCAAAAAATTCCAGATCCGTTTAATTACCTTACACTCCCAGAAAATATAGGTCCGGCAAAACACACAGCACATTTTATTGTATACTCAGATTAGAAGACGAATGAGCCACATAGACGTTCTGGATTTTCATTCCCAAATGATAAGCGCTCTTCACCAAAAAAAAAAAGCCTTTTTTTATCCGCACCCCAGATAACTACATATGTTAATTCGTTACTATAAATAAACCATTATTTTAAAAAAGAATATTTAAATACTTATCGATTTTGTGGTCGGATTTTAACGTTCTTTTGAAATATGTGTTAATTCGTTTCTATAAATAAACCATTAATTTTAAAAAGAATATTTAAATATTTATCGATTTTGTATTCAGATTTAAACATTTTAATGTTGTTTTGAAATGTGTTTTGGTCTAATACTGATCTTTTTTTACAAAATAAGCCTTTTGTAAGGGTCTCTTAAATTTTTTAATCGTTCTTCTCAAAACACAAATTTTCTAGTCATCACACAAATCACCTTCCATGTCCCTCCTTGCTTTTTTTTTTCTCTTCCACACTAATATTTTAGACTTACCTCCTTATTTCCTCTCTCTACCTCCATCTCTCTCTTTTTCCAGATTTTTTTTCCTCCTCTCTGTTTTCTTATCGTAATTTTTTTTTTCTCATTCTCCCTAAATTTTCTTGGAGTTTCTCTTTTCCATCTTCCCTCTTTCTCTATTTTAAGTAATTTTTTTTCCTCCATGATTCCCGTGACTGACTATGGATGCATCAAAGCCGACGAAGGAGGTCGTTCGCCGAAGAAAGAAGATCAGTGGAAGAGGAATGAGGGAGCGAGGTTGAGCGAGAGGGAGCGAGGTTGAGCGAGAATTGAGGGAATCTAAAAATACTATCTCAATATTAATTCAAATTTGTTTCCCGAAATCTATTCTCAATCTCATTAAATCTCTGAACGTAGTTTTAATTAGGATTGAATTAAAAACCCCTCCTTTTGCTTTCATCTCTTTCATTCCTAATTTAAAATTTAATCAAATCAAAATATCAATTTAAAATCTAATTACAAAAAGAAAGTATTCGAAATTGAAATTTAATTCAAATTTTTCCCAAAATCTCTTTTTTAATTAGAAAGCAAAATTGGGGATTGGAAAAGTAAAATTGGGGGATTTGAAATTCAATTATAATTAAAACTAAGGGGATTGATGAGAGATTTCGGGAAACAATTTGAATTAATATTAAAATTCCTTTTTCTCAAAATTAATTTGATTTGATAAACATTAATTCAAAATTAATTTTTAGATACTATAAAAAAAACAATCTCATTAAAAATATTATTTTTAGATTCCAAACAATCTCATTAAAAATATTATTTTTAGATTCCCTCGATCTCTCTGTCGCTCACCCTCGATCTCTCTGTCGCTCACCCTCGATCTCGCTCTCTCGCTCTCTCGCTCACCCTCGTTATCTCTCTTTATCTCCTCCCTCATTCCTCTCCCACTGAGCTTCTTTCTTTGGCGAATGACTTCCTTCATCGGCTTTGATGCAGCGGTCGTCAGCGAAGTCACAGGAACCATGAGGCTGCTGGTTTAAAAAAAAAGCTGAAAGATTTAGCCGTTTTTTTTAAAATAAATTGCTTTTTGTGGTTAATAAAGAAGAAAGGGAATAATAGTAATTAGAAAAAATGGAAGAATGTATGGAAGAAGGAAAAGAGAAACTCCAAGAAAATTTTAGAGAGAATGAGAAAAAAAACTTTGCTGAGGAGGAAAAGAGAATAATAAAAAAGATAAGGAAAAAAAATCTGGAAAAAAGGGAGATGGAGGTAGAGAGATGAAATCAGGAGGGAAGTCTAAAATATTAGTGGAGGATAGTGAGGGTCATTTGGTATGAAGGTGATGCCGCCTACAAATCTTGTGTTTTGAAAAAGATAATTAAAAAACTTAAAAAGACCTGTAGCTTAAGGAAATGGCCAGTTTTCTTCTTTCCTTCTTTCTTATGTCAGCAAATGTCAGTTTTCTTCTTTCCTTCTTTCTTATGGAAATTGTTTAAAAAGTTTGAAGGCCATGAACAAGATAAAGTAGGATAGTGGTGGTCCATACAGAATTTTCCGAGAGGAACAAGGATTTCAAACCAGAGGAACACCAATATTTCGAAAACTTATGAGAATCTATTGTCATGTTCACGCTAACAGCAGAATCACCATGGGCTCAGACCATGTCTCTGCTCGAAAACTGTTCCACCATGAAGCACCTGAAGCAGATCCACGCTCAAATGATCAAGACAGAGACGGCCACAGACCCCAAATTAGCCACCAAGCTTCTAACGCTCTGCAGCACACCTCATTTCGGAAATCTCCATTACGCGCAAATGGTTTTCAATGGAATCACCAGGCCCACCACTTTCATGTGGAACGCCATCATTAGAGCGTACTCAGACAGTAACGAACCAAAAATAGCGTTTCTCTTATATTGTCAGATGCTTTCTTCTTCCGTGCCGCCCAATTCTCACACCTTCCCTTTCTTGCTCAAATCGTGCCGCGATTTGTCTGCCATGGGGGAGGCCCTTCAGGTCCACGGACTGATTGTGAAATTGGGATTTGGGTCGGATGTTTTCGCCATGAATTCTCTGATTCGTGCTTATACGTTATGTGGTGACATTCAGTATGCACGCCAACTGTTTGATCATATTCCTGAACGAGATGTCGTTTCTTGGAACACGATGGTTGATGGGTATATCAAATTTGGGGACGTAAAATCAGCGTATGGGGTTTTCTTGGAGATGCCGTTGAAGAATGTTGTCTCGTGGACGTCGATGATCTCGGGGCTAGTTGAGGCAGGACTGGGCGTGGAAGCTTTGGAACTTTGCTGCGAAATGCAGAGGGCGGGATTTGAACTTGATGCGGTTGCTGTTGCGAGTATGCTCACTGCTTGTGCAAATCTTGGAGCGTTGGAGCAAGGAAGATGGCTCCATTTCTATGTACTCAACAATGGAGTCCATCTTGATCGAGTCATTGCCTGTGCTCTAGTAAATATGTACGTAAAATGCGGCGACTTGGAAGAAGCCTTGCAGGTTTTTGCGGAGTTGAAGGCCTCTTTGGTATGCAATTCAGATTCAGCATCAGTTTATTGTTCTTACACTTAGTGGATATTTGGTTGGTGAGCTTATTAAGTGAAGAGTACTGAACACAGTTTCAGCAACTTCTTAAATCGAGATATAATTTCTGAATATGCTACCAACCATATTTAAAAACAACCTGAGATGATAACTCTATGTTTTTTTTATTAAATCCCTGTTAGAAAGATGTCCATGTATGGACGGCCATGATTGAAGGTTTTGCTATTAATGGGCGTGGAGTGGAAGCACTGGAATGGTTCAACAAAATGCAGAGAGAAGGAACAAGACCAAATTCCATCACTTTCACTGCAATTCTGACGGCCTGCAGCTACGGAGGATTGGTTGAAGAGGGAAAATCTTTATTCAAGAGCATGAAAAGTCTCTATAACTTGAGTCCATGTATTGAGCATTACGGGTGCATGGTTGATCTTCTGGGTCGAGCCGGGCTGTTGCAGGAAGCGAAGGAGTTGATCGAGATGATGCCGATGAAACCGAATGCTGTGATATGGGGAGCTCTACTGAAGGCTTGTCAGATTCATGGGGATTTTTTTCTTGCTGGCCAAATTGGAACCCATTTGGTGGAAGTTGATTCAGATCACAGCGGGCGGTACATTCAATTGGCAACCATCTTGGCTGCAGAAGGTAAATGGAAAGAAGCAGCTGAATTGAGGTTGAAGATGAAGAAGCTGAGGGTCCTAATTCCTCCGGGAAAGAGTTTGATAACTTTAGATGGCGTTGTTCATGAATTTCTAGCTGGGCATCAAGATCATCCACAGATGAAGCAGATTCACCAGAAGTTGAACCAGGTTGCAGAGAGATTACGCAAAGAAGGGTATTCTAAAATCACCATTGAATTCAAAAACTTACATCGATAAGTTATGGTATATTTGAAATTTTATCATATTCTTTAACAGGTACAAACCTGTGACTAAAGATTTATGGCTTGATCTTGAGAATGATGAGAAAGAGACAGTGATGGCGCAGCACAGTGAGAAGCTGGCGATTGCATTCGGATTGATCAATATGAAACCAGGAACGACGATTCGAGTTGTTAAGAATCTAAGGGTATGTGGAGATTGCCATGACGTTGCGAAGCTCGTATCTAGGATCTATAAAAGAGACATTGTAATGCGGGATAGAGTTCGTTTCCACCATTTTAGAGATGGGAGATGTTCTTGCAGAGATTACTGGTAGAGGGGCAAGATTTATATGTCCATGTTGATGATATTCTTTTGTCACTTTCAAAGATTGTTTATGCACAATCAAATTCTAACTTCAGAATGTGTAATATAACATATTATGTATTCTTGTTAATATTAAATGATTTATAGTCGCAATGTTCAATCTCATTTCCTTTCAACTTATTAAGACATGCTTCTGCCAAGAAAAGTTCTTAAGATACCTTTGGAAATGTTGAGAAATTTTCATGTTGGGGACCTTAAGGTAGCTAAATCTAAGCTCCCTTCAAGCATAAAGCAAATCAAAGAAAAGTTCAAAGATATATAAATCATAAAAATATTTCTTTTTTCCTCTGTTTCTCAACAACATAAGGCCCAAACTTGAAAACTACTCTATAAGAGAGAAAAGAAAGAACAAGTTAAAATAAGCTATAGTTAATTTTGGATACTCTTCTTTCAACTTCAAAGTAGACTGAAGCTTATTTTATAATTAAGCTCTAGAATCCTAACGTGGCTCTATACTTACAACTACATATTACCATCAACGACCAATAAAAAAATTAAGACATAATTTTGATGAGTAACTTGATCAAATTACTTATGTGGTAGGTAGGATCAGAACCTGCCACACGTACCACTTCATCTAAAAACATGTGTTGGACCATACTCGAATAGATCAAGAATGAGGTGTGACATGCAAAGTCACCTATATGACTAGTCCGATGAAAAGCCTAGCTCGACACGGACATGAGAAATGCAGATGCCACATGCGTAAAATCCGCTGACACGTGATACGAGGTGCTAGAATGGCTGACGACGCTTCCCAATAACGTTCTCCTATAAAAGGTGGGTCTATTCGTCTCCAAAGTACAAAATTTTTAACTAAGTATCAACTTAAGTTTGAGAGTGATAGCAGAACATCAACTTAAGCTTGAGACCGACTGAATATCCACTTCAAATCTAAAGCGAACGCATCACCTTGTCCAGAATCCTCTATCAGACTTCATTTGAAAGAAAAAAAAAGAAAGGAAAGAAAAACCTAATCCATCAAAAAGATGTAACAGTAGCTGCCAATTCTTGATTCGATGTAATATACCAATCCACGCGGATCTTCTTTAGCATGCATATAATTTTAGTATAATTGACCCTTGAAATGACCAACCAACCTGTTGCCATCTTTGATCTTTCCCATTACCAATAATCTCACAAATTTAAAAAATCTCCTTAATAAATATAATAAGTTTTTGAGGAGAATATGAGTCTATGACTATTACCCATCTTTGCACCTCATGAGTTCGTTTGGTATCTTATTCACTAAATCTAGTGAAATTATATTTCCAAAAACAACTTTTCGACTGCATTTTGATGGGAAACATCGGTATATTTTTAGTGTTTTAATATTCCAAATATACTACCAAAATATATCGTAAACAATGAAAAGGTAGAATACAACTCTATTTTCGGTTAGATTTTAGAATTAAAATGGTAGGAAGAAGTAAAATTGTTGAAATTTAAAGACCCGTTTGGTAACGTTTATGATTTGTTAAGAAATTTAAGCATTTAACAACTATTTATATTTGTTGTTTCTTATTTTTTAGAATTATTTTTAACATTATATATAAATTTTCGAAACAACAAAAACAAATTTTTTGTTTCTAGTTTTTTTTCCCATTTGTTTCAAAAACACAAATAAAAATATTGTTTTATTATTATTGAATTTAGGAGTGCTGGAGGCCATACAATTCTCTCTCTTTTTTTCTATTAAAAATTAAGAATGAAAACGTCACCAAACGAGTGAGGTTCGGTGAAGAAGTGCTTTTGGGTGTTTGAGTTGGGAGTGCTGAACTTGCCTTCTATTTCGAACTGCTCCTGATTTCATTCATCCATTATTGATTATTGGTGCTGTTTATGTAGTTGGATTTTGGATTTTTATTATTGGTCTCCCTCTCCACACCCACTGCCCAGGCTGTTTCTCTTTGCATCCTTTTTCTTTGGCGATTTCTTCCCACTAACTTTAATTTAGCCACCCTTCTAAATCTGGGACAAATCAATCGAAAGCCCTTCTCATTTTTATTCCCAAATTGTTTAATTGCTTTCCATTAATATATAGAAGGTTATCAAAGGTCCATTATTAATTATTAATTAACGTTGAGGTTAGATCATCCACCCCTACATTTATTGAACTAAAAAAATCTAAACTTTCTAGATTATTCTATTTTGACTCAAATTTTCAATTTTTTTTTAACAAGTAACTAATGTGGTTTTGAGTATGAATATTAATGTGCTAAACTTGGACATGTATTTATCTTTAAAAAAAAATGTTAAGGTGAGTATTATTGGTTATTCTTTAAAATAATACTATTTAAAAAATAAAAACTATTTAGTTATTATTGTACTATATACATATGATTCTAATGATGATAAAATGGCATTATATTATACATAACCCAAAATAATGAAGGTTAGAAATATATTCCTGTGGACGTTATCGAAAACAGGCATCCTTGCTGGCTCCACGTCGGATTGGTTTTGAACTTAAAAGGAAAAAAAATATTGGTTTTCTCACCACTTCTTTCTTAGCTGTACTCACCATTGAGGGCCCTGCTTGTCCACGTCCACGTCTCTCTCACTCACTAAATAACAACAATCATAAGAGGATAAACTCGATATTACTGTAAATATGACATAATTTTAAGCCCAAACTCAAATAAAATGTTTGAGATCATATATCCCAATTCTGTATATATAGAATGGTATATCATATTTATACAATATTTTGTTATATGACAAATTTGTAATTATGACAACCAATTTAAATGATCTTAAACCAATTCTTAAAATTCATTTAAACAAAGTCTTAGTTTTTTTTTTCTTTTCATTTATCAAAAAAAAAAAAATCTTAAAAACTTTTTTCTATAAAATGGTGGTAGGTTGAATTCTCACATCTTATTTGAATTGTGATGTAATATTCTAAAAGTAATTAGTCTAATAATATTTTCAAGGTTTTGTTTTGATCTAAATGTTATGTTTTTAAAAATTAAATGAATTTGCTAACCATTCCTTTAATTGATCTTTTATTTTTTTGGATGATTAATCTTTCATTTTACGTTTTTTTTTTTAAATATTTTGAAATCTTAACTAAATTAAAGACCAATAACAATTTTTTTTTTTAGCTTTGAAACTTAGTTTAAATGTATATATTAATAACAAACATGGCTTTAAAAATCTTAAAACTTAAAACAAAAGTATTATAAAAAAATCCAATTTCCAAAGAATGTATGTGACAGTTCCAGACAAAATTTAAAAGACATTTTAAATTTAAAGACAATAATATGAATATTTAGCCTACAAAATAAATTGAAAAACAAAAGACAGTATATCTTGATGGCCAATTTGATGACATGGCGGTTTGCATGCTGATTCATTTTCATTAGCAGCCTTCTAATGAAAATGGACCCATTAGCATATTATTTTCTAACAAAATATGTCATGACAGTGACACTAAAATGAATAATAAAGATAAACACAATGCTGGGTGTGTGGTACTTTTCCCACAAGAATCCTCGTTTAAATGCTGGACTTATTTTCAAATCTCTTATTAGTCTCAATTTATTAAATATTATTAAACCACTAATAAATTCAAAAATTTAAGTTGATGGATTAGGATAAATTTATTCATTTATAAGATATTTGATACAATTTTTATCTTAGTCTTTGTTTCATCTAGGACGAGGTGCTGACAATTATTTCTTATTATTAATTATTTATTGAAAACTCATGTTCAAACAAATTAACTCATCGCAAGTAAATTTTGCTTAATAACTATTTTGTTTTTTATAATTGTAAAAGTTGTAATTTTGTCCACATTGGCTCGAGCTTAATTTTATTTTAATTTCAATAATTTTAAAAGTTTGAATTTAGTCTCATAATTTTGTTATATCTTATAAATTATTTTTGTTATAGTAAGCTATTATTGTATTAAATGAATGGGAGTAAGTTTTTATTTTTTTATTTAGATAACTGTGTTAGTTAGTAATTAGTATTAGGCTTTAAAATTTAGTAAAAAATAGAAGAAAAATAAATAGAAATTTTAATGAGTAAAACTGATGGAGAGAGATTTAACTAATTATAAAAATCAAAATTAAAACTAAACGTAAATCGTGATTTTACCATAAGATTTTTGAAATTTCGCTGAATAAAAGTTCACGTGATGGACACGTGAATAAGTCAATTAAAATATCTCCTACTCCTTTCCACGAAGGTTCTGTCACTTGTCAAGTGTCAAGTGAAAGCATTTCTTTAAAATAAATAAATCATTATTTTCAACGAAAAAAGAATCCATATTACGTCAAGAGATCCTTCCAGAAAATAAGCGGCTTCTTCTTCCTTGGAAGGGGAAAAATAATTTTTGAGTCTGTTTGGACTGTTTTGGCATTTTTTTTAAAGGTTTAAATTATTCAAAACGAGCCAACTTTGGGGTTGCTTCAAAGTTTCAAATCGCAATTTTAAAAACTGTTCATGAACTGTTTGATATTCAGTCCAAATTCTATTTTTTTTTTATTTTCAAATTTACTAGACTCGTGGATTCCGTAATTATTTACTTGATGTTTTGAGACTCTGTGATTTAAAAAGTAAAATTTTGGAAAATAACATATTTTTTTTTATGTTTCAGTATTTTCATATTTTAAATTTGAAGTTGAATTAAATTGAAAACACATATATATATTTTTTATAACTATATTATTTCATGTCATGTTATAAATTATTTTTTAATTAAAATATATAAATATAGTAATATAGTAATATAAATTATCTAATATATTATAAAATAATAATTCCACAAAATGTATAATAAGAATGTCAATAAATTATTAACATTATTTAGATTGAATTCAATATTTTAGTTGGTAACTAGTTTAGAGAGGATATTACTAAATAGATGTTTGAACAATTTTTTAATTGAAATTTAACTTTCAAATATGTTATCAAATACATGTTACCAAGTACATGTATTTTTTAAATATTCTATTTTGTCAACTTTTCATTGAAAAAAAATAAAAAAATGACCTGACGGTAAGTTGTAAAAATTATCTACACATGTACAGTACAATTATATGGTAAAAATATAAAACCACATAAAAAAATTAAAAAGAGAACTTTGCTGGGAAGACCACTCTCAAGTAAGAACTTTAATTATCAAGCAACTTAGTGATTCTTAGATTAAGTTGTTTTTGTTTTCTTTAGCCCTAGGTTTTATCAATTAATTGTGGGAAGATTAAAGATTTCATATTTCATTTGTCATTTGTGGTTTGGTTGTCCCTTACAAATTTTTGTTTTCTCCCAAAGCTTTTGATCGCAAGAGGAGAAACAATGATTTTCCTTTCAACTCCTAAAATTATTTTTCCATATTTCTAATGTGATTAAGACGCTTCAACTTTTTTACGACTCACTGACCTGTCAGATTTTCATCATTATTTTATGATAATACTACTAATAAAGTTATTTTTTTAAACAACTTTTGGATAAGACTTTTTAAACCACAGAAGTATAATTAAAACATAACTCAAAATTAAAGGGCATAATTAAAACTACCTATCACCCTGCGTATGTACGCAGAATGGTATTTTTGAAATAATTTCAGAGTTAAAGGTATAATTAAAACTTTTAAAGAATCGAGACGTATTTTTGTATAATTTTTTTTAATAAATAAAAAAAGCAAATCTAAGAAAAAGGGAATAGACGATTGAAAATCAGAAAATCCAAAACTTGGGTAACACGTGTCCTAAAGGCGGTGTGGTTGGGGATAGTAAGAGTGATCGATCGGGCCCTAGATTCGCTCCTCAGTCGATTTTACGTCAATCTTCTTCTTCTCATCAGCATTTTATATAACCAATTTTTTTAAGGAAACAAAACTAGCCTGGATCCATCAATTTCTGAACACCAACAAAGCTGTGGATTTCTTGTTAGCGCTGTGGTGTTTCAACTTCGAAGCCGCCCATTGTTTATGTTTTGGAATCGCCGTCGTCTACTCATTGTTCATGGTGCTATTTTCTGGATTTAATGTCCGACTGATGAGTATCGTATCGTTTCCTTAGTTTTATTTCACATCGTCTCGTGATCCCGGTTTTTTCCGATGATTTCCTCACTGGGGTTGGTTGGATTTAAGCTGATTCTTTCCCCTGGATTTCCTTGATCTTTACCATTTTTTGGCAGGTTGATTCCTCTATCTTTCTAACTGCATTTCAGTTCTTGTTTGTGTTTTCTGTTTCTCTGGATTTCTGAAGCCTGGCCTATATGAGGTCTTTAGTTGGCAAATTTGTTAGATAGGGAATCTTGGGTATTGCTTGAAAATGGATGAGAAAGGCTAATCAAATTGCAAAGATTTTTTTTTTTGGTTTTGTGGTCACTGATGACGAGAATAAAGATATGTGTTGTCTCTGTTTTTTTTTTTTAATTTTGATAAGGAGAGGTGCTGGAATGATGCTCAGTCTATTGGTTTCTTACTCAGCAACGTGGAAGGATACGAAGTATCTGCTGCTATGATATCATATTCCGAAAACGAATCTTTACTATGACACTTGCCAATTGTAATTATATACCGTGACATTAAGCACATAATCTTCTCTTGATCTGTTTGTTTGGCTTTAAATTGATCTCCCTTTGCGTACTGGTTTGTTAATTTGAGTGGGCTGTGGTTGAATTTGGACAGGAAGGATTGACATGCCACACAAATATGTCGTTCAAAAGCTTTGTTCGCGAACTAAGGGAGATGAAAGATGGACTTGGGATCAAACCGAAGCGAGGGGGAGAAGGGAGGAACTGGCGAAGTCGCACGAGGTCACATATTGCACCTGATGAAGTGCTGCCTCAGCCTCCCCAGCCTGAAGCAATTCAACAAGGGCAGTGGTCGAACTTGCCTCCTGAGTTGCTTTTGGACATAATCCAAAGAGTAGAAGAGAGCGAAACCTCGTGGCCTGCTCGGGCTGTTGTCGTTTTTTGTGCTTCAGTGTGCAGGTCATGGAGGAACATTACAAAGGAGGTTGTCAAAACTCCTGAGCAGTGTGGGAGGCTCACGTTTCCCATTTCACTGAAACAGGTAGAGAGTGTGTCCAGTTCCTCTTTTTGAGAAGTTTGTGCTACAGCTAACTCTTTTTCTGGTGCTTTTGAAAAGCCGGGACCTCGGGACTCTCCGATTCAGTGCTATGTTAGAAGGCACAGACCAACTTCAACCTATCTTCTATACTCCGGACTCGTGCCTTGTAGGTGATGTTCCCTGTTTCCTACTTGGATTCCTGATAAACCTTAAAAAAAACAAGGTTATGGATGAGATGGTCCATATATGATATACCACACCATGGCTGATCATAGTTTTTGGATTTTCTTCCTGTTGTTGATATTTTAATATGATTAGCATCGTATAAATGCATGCTTCTGAGTTATATATTATGAAAGAGAAGCTAGCTTGGCAAAATCTTTGGATAAGTTCATTAGTTTGGACTTCATTTACTGCTTTCTGATACTTCCCAGTTTAATCCCCCTGCTTATGGGAAAATATGTCTTATTTTTAATGCATTAACAAACTATCTCGAGTTTTTATGTGGTTTTCGCTTAATAATAATCTCATTGAATTGACAGCGGAGAATGAAAGTGATAAACTGTTATTAGCGGCCAAGAGAATAAGAAGGGCTACAGGTACAGATTTTGTTATATCTCTGGTAGCGGATGATTTTTCTTGGGCCTGCAGTACCTATGTTGGCAAATTAAGGCAAGCGTCTCCTTCTTGATCCTACTATTATTGTTTACCGATTACATCATTATTGAAGTTTTAATGTTTGATTTGACGAAATCTTGTAGGTCCAACTTTTTTGGCACAAAGTTCACCATGTATGATAGCCAACCACCAGTTCTCGCAGCATCACAACCAAATAACCAATCGAATCGTAGGTTTCATGCGAAACAAGTGTCTCCAAGAATGTCAGCTTGTAACTACACTATAGGAGCAATCTCTTACGAGCTTAATGTTCTACGGACTAGAGGGCCCAGAAGAATGCACTGTGTTATGCACTCAATCCCTGCATCTTGCATTCAACAGGGAAGAAGTGCACCAACACCAACATCGTTCACATCCTGTTTCGATGACCATCACCCCCCTCTACCGGGTTCCAAGGGGAAGGAGCCAGACACGGATTTCAGTTCCACAAGCATTTCAGGGGCACCAGTTCAAGAATTGGGAGAATCCTTGGTTCTCAAGAACAAGGCTCCTAGATGGCATGAACAGCTTCAATGTTGGTGCTTGAACTTCAGAGGGCGTGTGACTGTGGCTTCTGTAAAGAATTTTCAACTTGTGGCCGATGTAGATCCAGCCCTCAATATGTCAGTTGAAGAGCAAGAGAAGATAATATTGCAGTTTGGGAAAATTGGGAAGGACATCTTCACGATGGATTATCGCTACCCGCTCTCCACCTTCCAAGCATTCGTGATCTGCTTGAGCAGCTTCGACACCAAACCAGCATGTGAATAGCAATCCTTCTGTGTTGCAGTTCCCTTTCGGCCCTCCAGATGTGTTTCTGGTATATGTTAATTATTAGAGATTGTTCTATATTTTCCCCATCTCCTTGTTACTGAAACTTCATTTCTCATCTATATTTTCCATTTTGCTTTGCAGCCGTCCATCATTGGAAAGGCTTATAATTTAGCTAATACTATTTTTCTAACTTGTTTGGTAGCAGGGTTTTTTTTTTTTCTTTTTGNTTCTTTTTGTTTAATTTATAATCTTAAATTTCTCCCAAGCTAAGCAAACTTTACTTTTTCAGAATTGAAAATCAAATATTGGAGTAGAGAATCTACAATCCGAGGCAGTTATTAGTTAGATTATGCTCGGATAGGTTGATAATCTTCCTCTTTTACAGCATATTAAAATTAGAGACTATGTGAGAAAATAGCAATTTCCACTTTTGAGAGAGAAGAAATTAAAAATAAAAAATAAAAGGAAAAAAATCTATGTCGCTTGGAAGCTATCCAGTTTTATTTATTTAATATCGAGGGCGTCCATTAATGATCCTCTTTAAATGGAAGCTTTAAATCTCCACTCGGCTTGAGGAAAAAGAAAATACTCGTTTTAGTTTTTAACTTTTGTATTTATTCTCTTTTATTTTTGAATGTTAAAGTTTATTCTATTTTAGTCCAATAATTATTGGGTTTATATAACTTTTGTTCTTGAACTTAAGAAAAAAAACCAGTTTGATAGGTCAACAATCACATCTCTATTTTGGTTATTGAATTAAAAAGAATTATTTTGATACTTTTATTATTTTGTTACTTTATTTCTGCTTCCAAGCAAATTCGAAATGAGAAAATTTTCTCAAATTAAGGTGGCAAAGGAAATTGATAGATGAAGAGAAAGAAGCTTTGATTATCTATAGCTGTTGAAACATTGAAAGCTTTAAAAATTCAAGACGAAATAGAATAATAAGTAAATATTCAAGTCGAAATAGAACAATAAAAAAGAAGTGTATTGATCTTTATTTTTAATATTTTTTTAGAATGTTTATTTTTGTTATTAATAAAAAGAAGTCTATTGATCTTCTGTTGGGCCTTGGTTATGGGCAACCCATTTCGACCCGTCTGGCCCTTTCTTCCTTAAACCCTATGGCTCTGCAACTGGAAGAAGACGGAGGCTTAAACCTTGGCCTCGCGATTYCTAATTCCATGTTCTTGCTTGATCAAGAAGACGAAGACAACTCTTCTGTTCTGGTGACGTTGAAACGGTTTCATTAACAGTAGTTTATTTGAGCGGAATTTTCAGAGCTTCTATTTCCTGAAGATATGGCTTCCTCCAGATTATCCGCCTGCGTAGCTGCGGCTGCGGCGTCCTTGCCCACGATCGCCAACCACGCCTACGCCGACTCTCCATTTCGGTTCTCGCCTTTCTCGTCTCCTCAGGAGGAGAAGTCTTCTGACGATAATTCAGACGCTAAACCTGTGGTTGAGGAGCCGAGTAAGTCCGGATTTGATGCTGAAGCATTGGAGAGGGGTGCTAAAGCTCTCCGAGAAATCAATAGTTCCCCCAATGCTAAGCAGGTGCTACTTCATTTCTTGCTTCATTTGTCCCATTCTCTGGTTGATTTTATGACAGATAGTTGAAGAAGAGATGGAAAGAATATTTGAGGTCTTGATCAAGTGTTATATTATGATTTTCATGCTCTGGTATCTATAACGGGAGTCTTCAATGAAATTTTGTTTTTCCATGTTGTATGGTGTGAAATCCAACTTCTTTACTTTCCATTGCTTTTAACTGTGTTCTTTCTGGGTTAGGTTTTTGAGCTGATGAAAAGGCAGGAACAAACGCGTCTTGCTGAGGTGGCCGCTGAAAAGACCCATTACGAAGTCATTCAAGCTCAAGTTGATATTGTAGGTTCTTATCTATGTTATCACATATCTAACAATTCAAGAATTTTTTTGCCTTTCTTCCTGGCATAAACTGCAAATGTGGTTGCTTTTTTTTATTTGATTCTCCACAATCTCTGAACTTATTATTGGTTTGCAAATAATAAGCTACTTGAACAAGTTAGCCTCCTACGGTCGATATGTTTTTATGTTGTTATTCTTGTTTGGCCTTACTCTATTTTTTTCCATTGGCAGGAGAGACAACGGAAACTGGCTGAAGAACAAAGAAATTTAATTCAACAGCAAGCACAGGCAAAGGCACAAATGCTGCGCTATGAAGATGAGCTAGCCAGAAAAAGAATGCAGGTGGTTTAGTTTTTGTTTATTGGCCAGAAAATGGATTTTTAGAATAAAAGGATTTGATTCTGCATGTAAGTGTTTCGTTATTGATGTCTCCTTATTCTTTTCAGACTGATCATGAAGCTCAAAGGCGACATAATGTTGAGTTAGTTGGAATGCAAGAACAATCATCTATAAGAAAAGAACAAGCAAGACAAGTAACTGAGGAGCAGATACAAGCACAACAACGCCAGACTGAGAAAGAGAGAGCTGAAATAGAGCGGGAAACCATTAGAGTGAAGGCTATGGCAGAAGCTGAGGGTCGGGCACATGAAGCAAAACTGACTGAAGACCATAACCGAAGAATGCTGATGGAACGAATTAGTGGCGAGAAAGAAAAGTGGCTTGCTGCAATTAACACGACTTTTAGTCATATTGAAGGTCTGATTAAATTTTAATTGATAAGCACGTGATGGGTTCATGGTATTGGAGACAATTTAATATAACTGACCAGATTATTGTGTTCTAATTCTGAAGTTGACGTTAGAGGCTCCATTTTTTAGAGAGATGAATGTTTCTTTCCTTTTTCTACATTCTAGTTTAGGAACGTTTTTCCAGATAATTATCATTTCCCGCTGGATACCTTAAAGTTTATGTAGTTTGAGGCATCAAGAAGCTTTGGGACGTCCAATATGAAAGTAATAGATTAACATGTTTTTTTCTGTATTAGTTTGATCTTATATTTGACGTTAGTTGACACACAAAATACCTTATATATTTACTCCTAACTAAATCGTGCAGGGGGTGTAAGGATTTTACTGACTGATCGCAATAAGTTGGTTTTGACGGTCGGTGGAGCTACTGCATTAGCTGCGGGAGTTTACACTACCAGGTGATAGTTTCATGAGTTCATCACATTATACCTTGTAGTAAGGTATATCGTAGAATAATTGCATTTAAATTTTAGGTCCTTCACCTTCACAAGCCTCAACTCGATAATGATCTGCTAATGACCTGACAAACTTCTTACATCCCTTCTATCACCAGAGAGGTGTAAAAGTGAAAAAGCAACCACTTGTCCTGCAAGATGTAACCATTTACACATGATCCACATACAAATCTGTGATTTTTAGTTCTTATTTTACCTCACCGATTTTAGCCCAATATGCCATCTAATCATTTCCCCTTCTTTTCCCACCTGGCTTACAGGGAAGGTGCTCGAGTTATCTGGGGTTATGTTAATCGGTTATTGGGGCAGCCATCACTTATTAGAGAATCCTCTGTTTCAAGAATTCCAGGTTCCAAGATAATACCCTGGGTAAAGAATAAAGCTGTTGCATTTTCTACTGGAGCTGGGGCTGCAGCTCTCACAGTAAATAAAAATGGTCTTGGGAATATTGTCCTCCATCCTTCACTAAAATGGAGAATCGAACAACTTGCTAGAGCTACTGCAAACACCAAAGCTCATGAGGCACCCTTCCGTAATATGCTATTTTATGGACCTCCTGGAACTGGTAAAACTATGGTTGCAAGGGAGATAGCTCGAAAATCAGTAAGATGTTAACCAATGCCTTGATTAGTTTCCACTTATTTTGCCATTACAAATGTGTGCACTTGGTTTTGGGACTTCTGAAAGTGGTCAGTGTACATTTCTCTTTATGTAAATACCAAATAGTAACAACTTCCTATCGAACAAAATGTGGATAAAATTTTTGAGGCATCTGTATTCTTACATGTTCTATGAGTCCAGACTTTGAAAAGTTCGATAGAATATGTTTCTTCTTGATAGTTTTAGAGCTATGATATGATATCATTCAGCCATAGCAGTTGTAATCCAAAAACTGTGTCCTGCCATAAAATGATGAGGATCAGTTGGTTGAATGTTACTCATCTTGTTGTTCGTTTTGATCCCTAATTCCTTTTGTTTTCATAGGGTTTGGATTATGCCATGATGACTGGAGGAGACGTTGCACCCTTGGGCCCTCAAGCCGTTACAAAAATTCACCAAATTTTTGACTGGGCTAAAAATTCAAGGAAAGGCTTACTGCTTTTCATCGATGAGGCAGATGCTTTTCTCTGCGAGTAAGTCCCCTCTCCCTCCTCCCAAGAAAAAGAAAAAAAAAAGCAGCTTGTAAAATGTATCCTGTTGAGAAGTCTTTGAATTTTATTTTCCTCGGCATGTTTTCCAAATTTTAATTTTTTGTAGTGTAGGATTATAATGCAAGTAGTACATTTTTAGCTGAAATGTGGGTATCTGTATGCCTTTGGCAGTATATTTTAAGAGGAATCATCTTCATGGAGTCGTTTTATAAAGCTCAGTTTGGTTTGTCTCAATGCAGGCGCAACAGTACCCGGATGAGCGAAGCTCAGCGAAGTGCTCTAAACGCATTGCTGTTCCGAACGGGTGACCAGTCGAGAGACATAGTTCTTGTACTTGCGACAAACAGACCAGGTGATCTCGACAGTGCTGTAACTGACCGAATGGATGAAGTGATCGAGTTCCCAATCCCCGGCGAGGAAGAGCGCTTCAAACTGCTAAAGCTTTACCTAAACAAGTACCTAAGCAATCAAAATGAGGCCACATCCAAGCGAGTGTTCTCAATCAGGAAAAGCCCCCAACAAATAATCATGAGAGACATAACCGACGATGTGCTCAGAGATGCCGCCCGAAAGACCGAAGGATTCTCCGGCCGTGAGATCGCAAAGCTCATGGCAAGCGTTCAGGCCGCTGTTTATGGGCGGCCGGACTGTGTTTTGGACTCCACATTGTTGATGGAAATAGTTGATTATAAAGTAACTGAGCATCACCAAAGATTAAAACTTGCTGCTGAAGGTGGTCACCCTGCTTAGCTGAAGTATTTGTCCATTGTAACGCGTCACTTGCAGCGAAGAGATGTAGTTTTGTCCAAACTTTTTACTTGCGATTCTGTAGTTAAATATTCAATCAGTTGCCCAGAGTTCATGGGTTAAAATTAGGATATTGGGCCAGTGGGCTTTCAGGCCCAGGCCCATTGAGGCAAGAATTTGATTTATAATTCTTTTTTTTTTTACAATAAAGATTCTTAAGAAGCTCCCGCAGATGATGATAATACCATCTGCCGATTCACAGGTCGTTGCGGCATCTTTTTGCACTTTCACTTTTTTTTCCCAGCTTTTTATCTCGAACATTGAACACGTATTTACTTAATTTATTTTACGTCTCATGGGGAAGAAAATAAAATTTTACAGTGAAAAATTCAGTTCAGTGTCCTCGATCGTACCTTGAGCCGATCAAGGACGAGCAAGTTTACGTATTGTCGGAACAGATTGCCGGCGCTCTGCCGTTCCGATAACTTACCGGTCACAATTACGATCAACGGCAGAACTGTTTCACTTTTTAGGAAGTTTTCGGTAACGGATCGCCGTTGCTAACGTGGAGCGACGAGCTGAGACGATGGAGGGCGGTTGCTGCCGTGTGTGGTGACACGTGGCGATCCGGTGGCCCAGTGCCCGCTTTCGATTGTGTCAAATATTCGCCACGTTTTCGTCTCGGTTTGAAACTGCCTTTCGCTTTTTTCTTTAATTTTTTCTTCTTCTTCTTCTCTCTCTCGAAACAGAAAACGCCAACGAACGCAGACGCGGGAAGTGGTTTGGAATCTCCGCCGCTTCTAAAGAATTTTCGTTTTTTCTGTGAAACTTTTTTTCTGACCAGAAGCGCTTCGATTCTGCCCGCTGTCGGTGGCGGAACAGTGAGAGAAGAATCGTCGCCGGTGGAGACTGAGCAGGCGGTGGAAAATCGGAGGGAAGGAGTGAGAAAATTTCCGCCGCTGAGGTCGAAGCATGCAGACGACGGCCATGCACGATCGTCCTGAGAGAGAGAAACGTGAGCATTTTTTCTCCGATCGAGATTCTCAAAATGCTCTTCGACGAAATTCTTCGTCTATTCTCGGTAACTCTTTCTGTACTTCTTCGTTTTTCTTTTCGTCGTTGATCGATTTCTCGTGCCTTTTTTTGGCACCAAAAGTGAAAAAGGCACTCTTCGAATTGTGCATGTGCTCTAAAAGAAGATTATTATTGATTAATGCAGTACATTATAATGAAAGCTCAAGGAAAGTACTTGATTATTTTATCATATATCCTTCGATCTCTGTATTGTTCAAGGCTTCCAGCCATGCGTATGAGAGATATACATGCCGCATTCCTTTACTAAGTACCAAACGATATTTTAGAACTTTAGGGCTATTGGATCAAGAATCGTTGGAAATTGAGATCTATCAAGTTTATCATATTATTCGGGGAACTGACAATATAATAATCCTTGTCCATTAACTAGGGTTTTAAGATATCAAAAAATCTGAAAATAGAGTGGGTAGGGTTGTTGTTCTTGATTTGGGCATTTATCTTCTCACTCCAATTTTTGAATTAGGTTTTGGAAGTTATGATTAGTGATTTGATCAACTTTTGCTGCAGAAAAGATTAAAAAAATATAAACCTTAGGCTCCTGAACTGCTACAGGTAAATGGAAATTTTTAGGTCCGAGTAGCTTTATTTATTATTATTTTTTAATTTTGCCCGTTGGGGATATTTATCTTTTTACTTTTGTCGCTTTCTATTGGTTCCGAAAGCAGATTGGAGAGGGAGGGGCTCAGTAGTCTCGTTATACGGTGGCGGTGGACATAATAAAGCTGAGAATTCTGCCGCCGCAGTGAGGACAGTTTGGAATAAAAGTCGGAACGGCAGCTGCTGCTGGTGTGAACTTCTTTTGAAAAGACATAAAAATTCAAACAAGTATGCTCTAAAAAGGGTCAGAATGACTTCTAATAAAGCTGAAGTTGGCATTATGGGTGCTTGTCAGAAGTAGTGGCCGCTGGCGCATGGTAAAGTTGAAGCATCTCCCATTTCTTTTGAACCCACAATCCATTCCACAAATGATAAGCTCGCTTCTTTCATTCATGCTTATGATAAATAGTATAAAATATTAACCACTCTCTGCCGAAAATTTTAGTCGCTTCTGATCCTGGAGGCAGATTATGGGCGGAAATTCTAAGAACGAAAGATGGGGAACTTGTATATATATAATGAGAGGCCTCCCGGGTTCTTACCAGGCGGAGACATTTTTTTTCCCAGTTACTTTTCAAGTAAGCTTTTTTTCCCATTATTAATTATTGGTTTAGAAACCTTGCATCTGTGATCTGAGGGAATGAATTTATTTGACTGCTGCAAGATCGAGGAGACGAAGTAGGTAACGAACGGCATTAACCCATTAGAAACTAGTTTTCATTGCTTTCACGTGACCAGAAATGGTAGTAGAGAGATTTAGAAGTTTATGTTATTAAATGCTGACTGCTTAGCTTGGGAAGTTGAAATTTCCTTTCTCTTTCCTTTTTAGTTAGATAGGAGAAAGAATGTTGTTAGTCCCAACTGGATCTTGTTGGTCTAGGATGCGTGTATTAAGACATTGAACTGCGATTTTGTAGGAAACTAATATGGCGCATCGCCAATCGCCATAGTTGGAGACAGTGGAAGACATTCAAAAGCTTGTCATCTGCAGATCTTATATCTGACCATGCTTTTCAGACAGTTCATTGACGTAATAAAAAAGGTAACTATTCTGCCCTTTTAATTCCCAATGAATTCGTTAACACGATTAAAATTTTTATCAATATTATCATTTTTTATGCTTCAAAATTCATTTTGTATTGTTGGAGGTGGTACAGATCAAATAGTATACTGTTCATTTCAATTATACTTCACGTTAAAGACACTCTTTGCAGAACATACCGTGTATAAGGCAGACATGTGAAGAAGCTGTAGCCTTCTATTTCATTGAATACTAAAGACAGAAGAACATATCTTTTCCCTCAATTTTCTACCAAACATATTCCTGCGTTCAGTTCTCGGAAAAAATTTAAGAGCTTCTTTCTTATCAATTTTATGTTAACTGTCTACACCTAGTTTGCCACTAGTCTGGGCTCACCTATTAACCAGAACCTTAAATTTCGCAGATCTCTCTTCTTCTTCTTCTTCTTCTTCTTCTTCTTGTCTCTCTCTCTCTCTCTCTCTCTCTCTCTCTCTCTCTTAGATAGAGAGCCAAGGTACCATTTCAGACGAATCCCAATTTCCAAATTAGCTTCAGTAGCGAATTTACAACCTTCAGTATTAAATGTATTTTTAAAAAGATCACGATGGTTTTAGACCGTAATGTGAAGTGAACGTTTGGTTCACGATTATAATCAAGAAATTCAGATGAAGTAAAAGTCTAAGGTTGAAAAATTGGAGTTCAAGTTGTGCCAAGTAATGGAAACTTATGTGTAATTTGGTCTATAGATTCATTACTTAAGTTAGCATTTTAACATGAAGGACGAATTTAGGTTTATGTAATAGATTGGCAAATTTGTAGTCTGAAGAAGAGACGGCCAAATTAATCTATTGATGAACATATTTGATTTCTCATATTTGGTTAGGAAAAGCTAATTCGTGTATACACACTCCATCCGAAAATTTAAATTATCACTTCAGCATTATTTCTCATCAGTTTCTAGGGCAACTGGGCACTTATACATGGAAATGGAGTGAACTACGTTAATTATATCTGGTTTTTGTGAAAAGACACTCTCATATAGTGTACTTCTTGAATTGTAGGTTTCCAACGAAATGAGAGCTTCTTTGATGAGGGTTTTTCACCTCTCCTCCACCACTTTTCTCGTGGTTAAATAAGATTGTAGATAATGACAAAAAGAAACAAAAAAAAAAAAAACACAACAACAACAACATCAGTCTATCCACACTCTAGCCACAGAAATCCTACGGAAGAATCGCAATAGTGATGGCTGTGAATCCAACAGTCTACCGTGATTCTTGTACAATGAACTTAGGACCAATCTTTAATGCCGGCCATCCCTTTCACTTTTCTCCTGTTAAGAGTTTTATTGGCTTCGATTTGGGAAGGAGAGTCCACGTGCTGGGTTGCTTTTGATAATATTAGTGCTTAAAACACTCAGGTAACACGCCAAAGTGGTATGAGATACATATTCATTCAAGAACTGAAGATTGAATATTGGCTCCCTCACTCTTTCTTTCAGTGCCCAATAATATTGGGCCGTGCACACGCACTTGCTCTAATGACTAGGTAAATCTATCTTCTCAGAACTTAGTCAACATTGATGATGCATTATTTCACGAAATGGGTTTGAGGTAGAAAAGGAAAAACTTTTTAATACGTTCTTACATTTGTTTCTTCTTCATGGCTTGCTTGTTGTTGTGCATCCAAACCTTGAAAACTTGCCTCCTTACGCCAACCTCAGCGCAGAACTGTTGCACTTCCAGTTCATCATGTTTCTGTATCTTCCACCCCAATTTCTCAGCAAACTCTACCATCTTGTCCTTCTGTCCCTGGGTGAACTTTGTCCGGAATCGTTTCTTCATAAGTTGTGGCTGCTGACTGAACAGGTCCCGGGATCCATTGTTACACTGGTGATACATGGTCAGATCTTCACTGGAAGACTCGTCCGGTGCTCCATTGCTTCCCCCAAATGCCATCATCATTGATGAAATTGGAACTGCAGGCAATTGATGATGATGGGAGAGTGGAATGGGTGTCCTATCCGTGACATGGCTATTGTTTCTGATGGAGTTGGAGATGAAAAAGCCACTGGGTAAAGCATGCGTCGTGTGCTCGTCTTTCGTCTCCTTCCGGTGAAAGTTCCGATGGCATTCACAGGCTGCGCACTTCAAGGCCTCGGGTGTTCCATCTTCTCCACCGGGCATGAACTCGCCACAGCCATCAAGGACATGGCCTCCAGTACTTGCTGCGTGGTTCTTCAAACATTCTTGGTACCGAACCAATGAAGGAACACTGTTATCACTTGCAACTGCTCCAAGTGGGGCTTTAGATATCGGTCTGCTGATAGCAATTGGCTGAGTAACTGCAGATGGTGAGGCAGTAGCGGAGGTCTGGAGTAGATCTGGGGTTGGTTCAGGATGGTCTCTTGTGTGTTTGTGTAAATAATGATGCAGACTCAATTTGTGATGGTTTTGATTCTGGTGATGAGGGAAATGAAGCTGGGGGACTGTGTGATCTCTTCTTCTATCAGCAGTTGTTAGATGTGGATCAGAATTAGGAAGTTTGGTTGAAGATTCCCTATTTGATGATGCATTATAACACAAAGGGGAAGGAGTTCCTATATCCTCATCTTCACCTCTCATCGCCATTATATCTGATCTTCAAAAGGTAATTAATTAAATCTTAGCTAGGCTACTTTTGGTTACAAAAACCTAAACCTTCCACATCACTACCCTTCTATTTCCAATAGACAGATTCATTAGGATCTTCCATGACTTATCAACCCTAAGCTCTCTTTATCATGATCTTAATTAGCTAGTAGGGCTAATTTCTGGTGTTTTCTTTGCAGCCTCCATCACTCACAAGTGCTACGAACTGTTGGGTAACAGGAAATAAATGGATTACTGGGGACGGGAAGGCTAAAGAGGATAAATTTCCAACATCTATTAGAGCATAATGTTTGAATATCAAAATCTAGTGAAAGAGAGAGAGAGAGAAAGAGAGGGACCTACCAGCTTCTGGTATCAAAATCTTACCTTGATTAATTGGGGGCGTGGAATATGAAGAAATATGCAGTAAGTAAGTGAAGAAGCAGCAGGAAAACGGCAATAGTGAACATATGGAGGGTGGGAGCCGATGCAATAAGAAGAAAGAGAGTTATAAAAGGAAAGGGAAAGAGAGGGTTTTGTGTTTCCTACCACCCGCCCAAACCCAAGATCGGAAGCCGCAGGAGGAGAATAAAGTGATGAGTGCAGAAGGGGGGGGACTAGTCCATCAGAACAACCGACAAGGTCATGTTAGTCATCTCCCACACCCTGCGCCTTTGGTCCTGTTTCTAATAATTGCCTTTCTGGGCACCTTTCTGAAACCCTAAACCCACTCCCCTAATAAATATGCGTTCAACTCTTCAAATATTGCAAGACAGCCAAGAGATAGGAGGAATTAGAGACAAATAAAGGCCAGGAAAACCAAGTTGGTTTTCTGACTAGACTTTTAACACTCCGCTGCTTTCTTGCCTGGAATCTCCCTGCCAAAAGATAGAAAAATCTGATCTGATCTTCAAATCCCTCCAAAGGATTAATATGGTTTCAGACTCATTGACAATACCTGTTAATAAAGGATGATTAGCAAACAAAATAACCAAAAGAGAGAGAGAGAGAGGAGAGGAGAGGGAGGGGGGTTAAAGTGAAGGGAGGGCTGGTCCACTTGTATTTGTAGTGTCAGATTCTCTCTCTTTCATCAAGGCTGGCTCTGGGCTCTGGCTCTGGGTCTCTCTTTATGTTTCTGCAACTCCACTCATCCCCCAACAGAACAGAAGACTTTGCCATGTCTCCACTCTTTACCATTTATATCAAACGCTAACTTTTGGGGCATTTGGTGGATATCTAACACTGCACGCCAATTTGTACAACACACACTGTGGTTTTTGACCCTTTCCTCTCTCTCTTCATTATACTACCTTTATTTGGTCCACCCCACTTTCCATCTCTCTCTCTCTATGCCTAAATTCTAGACAGGCCTATGTGTTTATCTTTAACCACGCCCCAGTCTTTCAACCATTACTTCTCTGAACTTGACCAGACCTCAACCTATTCAATTTCACTGATTTCTTTGTACAGACAAGTGAAGTTTGATTTTGTTTTTGTTCTGGTTCTAGCGTCAACTTTAAACAGATTTGTTGCTCCGCCTTTCTTGGGAAATTTTCTGGTTACTGTGAAGTGAACATGAAGGATGGAGTTGCTTGTGTAGATTTTTTTTCTTTCTTTTTTTTTTTTTGAAATATTTGTCTTTATAATTGCTTTTTTTAATAATATGAATGAATGACCACCCTTTTTTCAGAAGGATGAATGATTGAATGGCTTGTACTATTACTATTGGTAGTTGCTTGGGTAAATAAATGTTGGTTATTGTTTATTTACCTTATTACTATTCACAGGTGTGTGCTTTACATGTGAAGGACTTCTATTACTCTAAAAAGTCAATTCGACGGCAGAAAGGCCCAAGAAAATAAGTTTTAAAGCAATTACTCACACTTACTTTCATTGGATTTTAGTTTATTAAAAGAATAAGAAAAATAAAACAAAAATAAAACTGTTTTCAAAATCAATTTCCCTGTACTGTTTGCATGCCTATGAGATATTTGAGAATTATTTGGGGAAAGTTAAAATTTTTATTGGTGCACTTTGTCATAACGAACCAATTTTAACTTTAAGGCTTGGAAGGAAAATTTTAGTATGGTTACAATCAATTGTCTATTAAAATTATTTTGCTAAAATTACTCATTCTAAAATCGTTCCTTCTTTTATTTTAACTTTTTAACTGTATTGAATGAAACCCTAAGCTTGAGTACGTGTAGAAATTAATATCTTCAACTTCTTTTGTTTCAGTACTATATCTTCAACTACTTAGTCGTGGTTCAACGAAATTATTTTTATGGCTACAGTGTGTTTTGGTTGGGTTTGGGCATTTTATTGTTGAATTTGAGGATATTCTTTTACTTATTTGATTGTGTGGTTAGGTTAATATATTTACATGTGGGGGTAATTGTTAAAATAAAAAGGGGTGCAAGAAATGGACCCATACTTAGGTTTGAGTGTTTGATTTCTTGAATTTTTTGTGTGATTCATTGATTAATTTATGAGTAATATTTTAATTTTGTTTTGAGAATATATTAATTTGATCATTTATTTAATTTTAGAATTCAATTTTACGAAATTGAAATTTAAAGGTTAAAACCTGAGTAAAGATGGGAATTTATTTAGGTGGAAAATTTTAAATTAATATTTTTATCTAGCATTGTCAAACGAATTTCTAATGTGCAGCTTTATGGCAGAAAAGACAGTTCACATAAGAATACGTCTTCTTTGTGCATATAAGCTTTAAAAGATATGATGTATTTAGTGATCACCAAGTGTTTAATAAACTAGTTTCATTATTGAGTTATCAATATTTGATGATTGAAGTTTGGTCAGATTTCTTATATTCTACAGAAAAATACTCTAGACTATAATATTAGAGATATTATAATTTAGCGGTTGCTCTTTTATGCCAGTTTGCAGTTTTTCTCAATTAGTATTTCAAATAAGCAACATTTTGAATGTGTGCGCGTGGAAACAAATACTAAATAATAAAAAATTAATTAGTGGTAATCAATCGGCTACTGCTAATTAATGGTTGGAATAAATTTAAGATATTGCCAATAACAATTTATTTTAATTAATTAGTCCAAATAAAATGGATGGTTAGTTATTTATCTGTTAGTTAATCTAAATTAGGTAATCATTAATGGTAATGAATTTATTTTGTTGAGTTAATTGTTATTATCTAACTTGAATTAAGCAATTCTTTGGATATTAACTAATTGATTTTATACTTCTCTATCACCCCCTTCTTAGTTACTATATATATTTTTCTTTTGACTTCAACATCATGTGGAGATGGGAATTTTGAGGCTTCGACCAATTGAACTATGCTTAGATTAAATAGTTAGAGGAAATATGTCTTAATCAATTAGATTATGTTTGAATTAGCTAATTAATATAAATGTTACACAATTGGTATCTCCTAGGACATGAAGTCTTACTATGAGGTCTCTTATATTCGAGTTTTGCACTGGTCACAGTGTTGAGTAATGAACTCCGGTTATAGGGGTCTACTAGCATAAACTATACGGTATCGATTTCGAGAAATTAAAAAAAAATTGTTAGGTGGTATTTCCCTCAAGGAACTATGCTTTTATAAGTTAATGGTTGTCAGCAATCACTAACTGATTAGATTAGCAAATAATTGTAATTAATTGGTATTAAAAAGAATAATTGTGATTAGTTAACCACCTTAGTAGTTAAGTGATTAGTTACAGGTTTTTTTTTTCAGTACAGATTAGTTCTAGAGAATTAAATGTTAATATTTTGACCTTATTATTTCTTATTATTAGGTATTACATTTATTATTGGCTGATTAACTTTTATCTTTCTTAGATTCAAAGAAGTCTTGAAGTCCGGGTTCGGAGGTCTCTCCTTATAAGTAATTGTAATTGTATGAAAAAAAAATATATGTAGGATTTTTTTTTTTTAAGAGCCAAGTTGTGTTTTTTTTTTTTCCTGGTAGTTGAATTTTCTCTTTTATCCTTTATATTTATTTTACTAGGCAACTTCAACTATGGCCCAAGCTTAGGGAATTGAGTATAAAAGTAATTAGAGAGGACATATTACATTATTTTATTAGGCCTCTATGGTAGAATCTGTCTAGTATGAGAGAGGCAGTAGTTTACCTTGTGGCGGATGTCTGATTCGAGTATGCTTTTCTTCATCTAGTAAATTTAGCCAATTCAAAACTATATGATAGTAATTTGACAGTTCAATCCATGATTTGTTGGATGCATTTAGCAGCACCATAAGGTGACATAGTATTAGGGTCAAGGACGAGGTGCAGCTCTCACACACCAAGCCCCAATTTGACGATGAAGGATAATGTGACTGAGGAAACCACTACTGCAGCTTTCAAGGATGCCATTCGTTCATTGGTAGGCTTGATTTTCTTGATATATATGTTCTAATGTTGTAATTGGATGAACAAAATAATTTTAAAATTCAGGAACCATTTGTTACACGATTGGACAAAGTGACAAAGATTTTTTAACCGATGAATCATGATTTCATATCTTCCAATATCTAAAAATAGTAGAGGACAAATAACCCACATACTTCCATATCTTCATCTTTGGATCACTGAACGACAAAAATTATTAATGTTAATGACAAGAAAATGATTCAAAAGTGGAGAAATTCTCATAAAAGTTTTTGGGATACAAACAACAATGTCACAATAAAATTAAACCCATTGATAGCTGATAGAAGCCCCACTCCTAATTAAGATGCAGCAGCCACAACTCCACTGTCTGTGTAGGTTGCTAATTCACTGCGAAAACCCGATCATACCCTCCCCATTCTGGGAGGATCGGGAGGGTATTTTCGACCTTGCCTAACTGAGCTTATAAAATATTAACAAGTGTTGGGAAGTTGAGACTTTTTAGGGTTGCTGGGCTGATGAGGGTGATAGTGATGTATCATTAAATATTTGATTATTTAAATAAAGCACCAACTAATTCAATCTAATTCCACCGCCGAACGAGTATAGCTCAGCGGTAATTGATATATATCTAAAACTAAGAAGTTGTGAGTTCAAATCCCCTCCTCCAACATTTGTATTAAAAAAAAAATTCTACCGCCGCACTTTTAGAGATGTGGTTAATTATTTTCCATTGGGTTTATCTCTTTTTTTTTTACTCCCTGTTCTGTGGGTGATGACTTGTGATTCAATTCACTTAATCTTCTGATGACTTGTTTTGGTACTCAAAAAGTTTTCTATTTTTTTTTTCCGGTTCACCTAATTTTTAAGGTTAAAAATTTTTATCGGTTGTGAAAGTGAGAGCTGAGATCAGTAGCTTTCAAATGTTGCCAATTGAATCAATTTAGAAGATTGAAATGACAGCCGCAAAGTGGTTCCAAATGGCCTATTCTTACAAAGCTTTGTGGGTTCTTACCTTCTTGTCTTCCTTTTTTTTATATATTTTTATTTAGGAGCCAAATCATTGTCCATTTTTGAGTAATTTGTGTTGATAATTTTGATGCCTTGCTTGCAATTTTGTTATAAATATGAAGCTTTCAAGAGAAGTAAACCTCGTCTTTTTTAAGACATGCGAATTCGAATGAGTAGATGATTTCTTTGGTTATGTTTGAGTTCTATATTCTATAACTGAATTTGTATACTCAAATTCAAATAATTTCTTTGAAGAAATAAAAACCGACTAGACAGGTCACTTCAAAATTGATCAATCAGCCAAGTATAAAGTTGTCGGATAAAATAAATAATTTCTACGGTTAACATTTTCAAACCAATTAGATTGTTCGAAATTATTTGAGATTATTTAATTTAAAAAAAAGTACACATTAAGTCGTAAAATTGTCAAAAAAAATTGACCGCAGTCAATTTGATGGAACGGCAGCGGCACGCGGCTAATATCTTCATTCATTGTCTGAAACTCCAAGTCAAAGAAAAAGTTTCAAATCAGACATAAAATTTCATCCATTAATATTATCATATTTTTATTATGATTATTAAATAATTAATAATTCGAAGTTAATATTTTAAGTTATCCAAAGGGACCACGCGTCCGGTTGCCGCAGGGAACAATTCCCAAGTAACCAATTTTAAAATTCAAATGCTTACGTGGCAAAAGCCCAGCCCCACCTCCATTTCCCAACATGACTTCACATCTAAACCTCCCATCCCATCCCATTCATTTTTCAAATATTTCAAACCTTTAAATATTATTTTTCAATCGTATATCTTCGATAATAATTTTTTATTTTGATAGCTAAAGTAAACATAATTTAATTCACGAATTACCTCTCCAACGTGTCGTATTAATTTTTTTTATTATTTTGATCTCCATTTTTAAAATGTACTTTTGATTTATAAATGTATTCGTTTTGGTTTTTATATTTTTTTAAAAAAAATATTTGAGTCATCTCATTTACATATTCATCTTATTTCTTTTTATTACAATTTTGACATAATACTTTCGTCGCTACTTTTTTTACGTTAGTTATAAGCGTGTATTCAAATATTTTTATTGTGTATAAAATTTGTGTGAAAATTTTGCATGACCAACATGGTAACTTAAAGTTACAAAGACCAAAACGAATTTTTCAAAAGTACTACAGTGACTAAAATAAACCAATTTTTTTTAATATAACATGTGGGGGTGAGGGATCGAACTAACAACCTCCTGGGTGTAGATATATGTCAAGTACTGTTAACTATGCTCGTTTTGGCAAAAAAGAAAAACCAATTTTTTAAAAAAAATATGGAAATCAAAATAAATAAATATCGAAATTACAATAAAATGGTATTTTAAAACCTATTTAAAAATTTGTTCAACCTTAAAAGACAACCAAGAAAAAAGGGGGAAAAAAGTTCAGTTTATTTATTTAGGGAAATTTGGGAGAGGAAAATGAGGGTTTGGAATTAGGTAGAGAGGAAAGAGTGAAGTGGTTGTATGTGAGAAGTGAGAACAGAAAAAGGACAGAACCAGACACGAAAGTGGAGGCCACAAAATAGGGCCCAATTCGTACGGTTTTTGGGCTTTTGGTCCAACTTTCAGACAACTAAATCTACAGTTATTGGGCTCACTCTCCCATAACCATCATACTCATTCCAGCGCCTCCACTGCCTCCGCCTTCCCTGCGGCAGTGCCGGTGGCGCCACAGCATCTCAGCCACCTGAGCACAGCTACGTCTCCTTCAATAACGTGGGATGCTAATCTTAATAACGTGGGATGAAGATTAGAACTTTAGATTAGATGTGTAACGAATCGAGTWATGGTATTATACTTCATGATTTAAATATTTAATAGTAATATTGATGTCATCAAAAGTTTTACGGAAAAAAAAGAATCACAAATATTTATTAGGTTAAATTACAAAAATCTTCTTGAACTTTGTTCCCGTCATAAAAATACATCTATGCTTTTTAAATTTAAATACTGTCTTTACTATTTCATAAATATTTCAAAAATATCATTTGAGCAAACATTCGTTTATATTCGAAACGAGAGTTAATGTGATTGAATCTAAAACAATGTCACAGTTAATATGGAAGCTTGAGTGGATTAAGTTTGAAAAGAAATGAAATATATTTAAAAGGAGAATTATGACAAAATTGGGTAGGCAATGGTGAACTAAACTCTCTTGACATTGGATAAATAAAACTTTTAACCAAAAATTGGGACATTAATTATCACATCTTTTTAGATTTTGCAAGGTCAACTTTCAGTTTAAAATATTAAAATAATATATTTTTTAAAGGTTTGTGAAAGATCAATAATAATTGCAATGAAAGAGATATTTTTCAAACATAAAATAACATTTATGAATATACTTTTGTAATTTAACCTATATGTCATGTCCGTATTTGATGATAAATTGAATAAATTGGTAATTTGATGATGTGAAATGGAATGGTTTATTTATTATTATTWTTTTTTTTAAAGATAATAGATTTGATGGGAATCTCTCTCATAAAAAGGAGCATGGTAAGGAGAGTGGAAGCTCCACAATGAGGAGTTAGTCAACCAACTCATCCAATTTCTAATACACAGCGGCAGAATATTGAATATTTGTTTCTTTTTTACGTTCGAAAAATATTTTGGTGTTTGAATAAAAATAATAAATTGCAAATTTTCAATAATAATTAACGTAAAGATGGGTAGTGATAAATCAACACTATTTTATTCATTATTCACGTTTTCGTATTTATTTATTCACCGCTAAATGTTGGTGCCGGTTTCGTACGTAGCTGTCGGCCACGGCCAGGCTTCTTTGTCCTTTTTATCTCTCTTCCCACTTTCTCTCTCTTCTCCACAAAATTCGTTTCCCACCACTACTCAACATACGTGCCTTTCTGGGCCGGTTCATCTCCACTACGGACCTTAATGGGCCTCCGCATCTGGGTTGGGCCGCCACCCATTAACACCCAAAACCCATTTTTCTATCTATTTTTCGGAATTTGTACGTGGATGATCTATTTACGTAAAACGATGGAAAAGTATAGAATTTACACTTGTCATGAAAATCCTTAGATACTACCTATAACACAAATTACTAATATATCCATAGAATCCATCTCGGTCATTTTTGAAAGTCTTCGTCTCCCGCCAACTTCTATCTACCTTCATCTCCGGCCGCCTCCATTTTTCTTTCATTCCAACGGATATTTTCAATTTCTGATTTTGTTCGAAGTATTGTATATGTGAGTATATATAATATAGTGATTTGATTATGATATATCTTATAACTCAAGTTATATATATGCGGAATTGTGAATATATCCTATAGTGATTTTGAATATATATATGCGGATATATAAGTGAATATATACTGTGATTTTGAATATGCAGATATATGTTTATTGAGACTCAAAAGATGTTTATGTGATTTTGAATTGTCCTTAAGATAAAATCAATTTTTTGATGGAGTAAATTAAAGTTTTGAACGAGTGAATAAAGACATTTGTATTGAAAATTAGTAAGGGGCCACAGTAAATAAAAGATTATGATAACAATTTATGAAATTAAATMTTTTATATTTCAAAAAAATCCAAATAATAAATGCAAAAAATAAAGGTAAAATCAGAATTAAAATAAAATTCTAACCCAGAAATCTAAAAGTAAAAATTCTGAAAACTTTATCTCTTTTCGATAATAGGCTCCTTGTACAAATTCTTTCATATTTCTTGAACCAAAATCTATACACAAATGACTATTAAACATTTTTTTTAGTTCAATGAGAATTAAACTTAGATAATAATGCTCGAATTGAAATTAAACCATACTTCGTTATTTAAATAATTGGAAGTACTCTTTGTTTAGAGTTGAGTTCTCAAAATTACACAATTGCAAATTAGGCCCACCACTAGAACAATTCAAGTTACAGTACAACRCCACCTCTGGTTTCCGATTTACCTGATAAATCGCGACCTTTACTCACGATCTCCTTCAGTTCCATTAGCCTCCACATGTACCAAGCGCCCATCGACCTATACGGCTTCCATTTGTCGCACAGTTTCTCCATCTCCACTGGCTTCGGCAACTCCTTCAGTCCGTACAGCCGCTGCACGCCTTTTCTGACGCCGAGATCGCCCACCGGCAGCACGTCCGGCCGATGCAGACTGAAAATCATGAACATTTGCACCGACCAAACGCCGATTCCCTTCACCGCCGTCAACGTCCTCACCAGAGTCTCGTCGTCCATCTCCAGAATCGAAGATTCCGTCAAAATCCCCTCCACGAATTTCCCCGCTAGGTCATGGAGGTAGCTCGCTTTCCGCCCCGAAACTCCAATTACCCGCAGCTGCTGCGCCGACAGCCCCAGCACGGCGCCCGGGACCACCGCCGCCTCGCCGCCGCACAGCGCGGCGAACCGATTGTAGATTGATTCGGCGGCCTTTGTAGCGAGCTGTTGGTACAGAATGCTCTTCGTTAGGGCTAGGAATGGGGGATTCGATTTGAATTTGGGGGTTTCGCACGAATCTAACAGATTTATCAGGAGAGGGTCCGATCGGCGTAAGTGATCGATCGCCGTACAGATTTCATCCGTAGACGATAACGATTTGACGGGATAGGCCGGGTTCAGAACTGATCGGGTTGGGTCATTCTCGCCGGCGATTGGTGGTTTGACCGTCATCTTCCGTATTTTTGTGGATCGAAACGGAATCTCCAGCGTTTCAGACTGGGACTGTAATAGAGATTGAGATTTCGATTTCAGGCGGGTTCTTTTGGACATCGGAGGCGATAGATTTGAAGCGGAGGCCATGGCGGCGGTGAACGATTTGAGGGCAAAAGCTAGGTTTTGAATCATGATTCAGGGGGAGTGAAGTAAAGATGTCGCGTTGTCATTGGCTGAGGTGATGTCGTCTACGTCAGCAACTCAAATCTTGCGCTGCACGACTGCATAATGATTATAATATTCAGTCAAACTCCATTTGTTTTTTCCTTTGACTGGCTATCTACAATTTGCTTTCTTATGATTTGGGTTTTTACTTTTCTCTTCCATTTAAAAATTAGGAGTTTAATAAACTTCAAGTTCATGCACAAATTTTAGAATACATTTATAAATTCATAAAATCAATGCATCAAAATTGGTCTATCAGGATCGAAATTTAGGAGGAACGATCTTTAATTAAAATTTGCTTTAAAACTACATTGAAATACAAACAAATAACTTAAACTTTTCTTTGTTTTTTTATTATTATTGTTGGTCTGGAATATTGGACTTATTTCCAAGTTTTTATACGGTTTAGTTTCTCCTAAAATATACATCACAATAAGATTTTTGTTTTAATTTTTTAAAAAGACATCACAATAAGATTTGATTTGTTTTTAACACCGGCTTGAATTACAAGTTTTCGACACATATTTTTAGCATCCATCTTTTTATTGCTTTTTTGGTCATTTATGAGACTTTTGTCATTTTTCATATGAATCTCAAATATGAGATTTTAAATTGTTCAATAATTCCTATCAAATAATTTTTTTTAAAAACCCTATCAAATMAGAAATTGAATCATACAACGATCAATATTCTTTTCCTTATATGGAAGTTTTTTCCCCTTTTTTTTATTTTCAGTTGGTGCGGGGTACACATATTCCCTCATAGATTTTGATATTTTTCTATCTCAATAGTTGTATGATTTGTCTAAATAAGGATCACATTTTTTCTCCTTTTTTCAAGAATGTGACCACATTGATATAATCAGTAAAAAAAAAAAGAAAGAAAATAGTCACGATAGAATATTTTTTTTATAAATACCACGTTCTTATATTTACCAATGATAAAGTCGTATTGGGTTTGCTTCTTAAGAGGTAATTATAAATTTTAGTTTTGTGGTTTGTGGATTTTGTTGTGTCTAAATGACATGTTTTGCAAAATATAGAAATGATACCCAATTCTTAGTTTTTGTCATATGTTTCAATAGAATTGATATCTCTTGTATCAATTTCATTCCAGATGAAAATAGATTTTGATGAAAGAATTTATTTTTATAAGTTTTACAACTCATTCATATACGTCAATATGAGCATGTGAGCATAGTTAAAGTTAGTGATTTATAATTATTTTTCTTTTATCAATTAGTCCAATACAAGTATGTTTTTTTTGGAGCATTACTACTATTGACTCCTTTTTCGTTTCTTTATCTTGGTTTGGCAATAATAAGCTACTTGTTCATCTATGGGAAGAGAGATACCCCATCGTACCACTATCCTTATAAATTCATGTCATAATCTCTATCAAATTATAAAATTTTCACTATCCTATAGTGATGGACYAAGAGCCACTAACCTATGATATAAAATCTCACAAATTCCTCGACACCGAATGTTTTATATGACTATCCATTTATTTCGTGAGATTAGTCCAGACGTACTAACTCGATTTCCGATCTACCTTTAAAAGAGAATATTCAAATCTAGTAGTGACCCACCTGCCTAGTCCAAGACAGGCAAGTTGGGCTGATATAATGATCAGGTCCATGCAGCAAGCTTAGCAGAGAAGGTCTACCCCACAAATTAACTTCTTTATCCACATCATGTTTTTAATTAGTTGAAAAAATACCAGTTTGAGTGATGATTAATGAACTAATTAAATACAATATAAGACATGGACACTTAACGAAGAAGAAAGCATGCAAGGGAGAAGGAGAGCAAAATTTAAGTGTACTATACTATTCCATTGGGAATGAAGAAAGAGAAAGAGAGAGAAAGAGGTGACGAAAAGATATATATAAAATTTCAATATTTCGATTTTCACAAACATTGACGTATAATGGAACATTAAGCAGCAGCCAAAAAATCTGAAAGGGAGAAGGAAAAAAAAAAGAAAAACTGATGATCATCGTGGATTGGATTCTGTGAAGGAGACAGTATTTCCATAAAACCGTCTCTGCCCTCTTTTAAAAATCCCTCAACAAACATTATAATATGGCGTGGCTTTCTTTCTCTTTTCTCTCTCCCGGTATAAAAAGAAAGTGAATATTAATAACAAAAGAAAAAAACGAAAAAAAAAAAACTCCCCCACATTGCCCCACTGGCCATCGTAGTTTGCTTGAAAGAGAGCAAAGAAGAAGAAGAAGAAAAAAAAAAAATTCCTTTTTTGTTTTTGTTTGAATGATGATTTTAACTTGTGAAGTCGTAGTAAAGCTGAGGTTGCTCCGAGTCATTGAGGCTCCATGAGAGAAAGGCGACGCCGGGATTGATATCGTTGGTAATGCCGTGCGGGTATCGCGGCGTTCTCTGGCTGTGAGAATGGTGGGGAAGCCATGAGCTGGCCTCGTTCCTATACATCGAACTCGCCTGCTGCCCCGAGTTCGCTGCTTTTCTCTCTTCCTTCTTGTATCGAATCCCACACGCATTGCACAAAGACTGCATAAATATACACATCTCCCAGAAATCTAAAAGTAAAAATTCTGAAAACTT